ATTTAGGTTTGTTTTCACCGAGTTTACAAAATCAAAACTACTTTCTACTATTAGTAAAATATGTATTTTATTGATGGTCAATAGGTTTTGCATGACATAGCGTATAAACATAACAATTTCTCTCCTGGCAGCGAGGTGGGTGTCAATATAATACTACTTACAATATTATTGTTACTTCTTCGACCACAACCTCACTTCGAGGAAGAAATCGTTATGTTACAAGTTGTGTTATGGAAAATCTTTATGGTCATCAATCATATATATATTTTACTATAACTAGTAAGTAGTTTTGATTCTTTAACTTCCGTGAAGCGATCTGAACACAAGTAAGATATCGTTTCAGGCTTCCACAACGCTTCGCTTCGCACTCACAAACATAACCCATTTAGCCGCACGAACTGCGGGGTCCTGTGGAAATCTGTGCATGGTGACACCATCACCCGACCCCTAGGAGCAATTGACGACAAAGCAACGATTCGGCGTATGTCGTCGTTCATGTCGAAATCATCAAAATGATGAGCGTGCTACACACTTTCTATACAACTAACTGAAAATCGTTCCTCATATGGCGTCACTGCAGTGCTCTGGCGACAGAGTTACATTAACCTGTCTGTGGTTTCGCGTTGGTAGGCGAGTGAGAAGCAGGCGACTTTTTGGCCACTTTTAATCGCTCGGTATTAATTAACCACAAGTTTTAAAGAATAAATTTGGTGTCCCGCATAAGACTAACCACAAATCTTTCATATGTAATGGTTAAAAGAGTAACAAAACAAAGTTTAGTGGTTCTTTAAGTCATTTAGCCAACATACTGTGATGTTTTCATGAATTCAGAATTTCCTAATTGTATCGTAAAACTTATTAATCAAAGATAAAAGAAATATATTTTTCTCTTTAAATACATATACTGAATAAAATCAAGTTACTCGCTGAATAAAATGTATAAATGAAGATTAAGAGGTAAAATTTGATTATTTGGCAATAAATGAAATAAGAGGGATATCATCACTGTCAAACAATTTCTTTTGGTATGGAATTGTACAAAAATGACACTATTGGTTTCTGTAAAATGTATAAATTCATCTACACACATACCTTTTACTGTTATCACTAGGAAATATTACTTTGTGAATTATGAGTGCCAAATTATTTGGTCTCAATCATTTGAAAATGACAAAGGATTGTACTGATGAATATCACACTGTACCCTGTCATTTAACCTGCATTAGCTACCAAAAAACAGCAATTGAGATAAGCACCTTCTCCCATACATGCTCTTTGAATATTTACAGCATTCCGACCTTGTTACCATTCCATATTCCCATCACAGCCGCAGTGAACCACCTTATGCCAAAGCAGCCATTACAATGCACCAATAAACCAACAGTATTAATTGAAATGCAGCCAAAACACCAGTGAAGATAACATACAAGCAAGTATTCTGACACATCTGTAATGCATTCCCTCTGTGGGGCAGCTGGGTGTGAATGGCTTCCATGATCAGCAATATTCCAGCTGTCTGAGAGGTGTGTAGAAATCCTGGACCGAACATCCAGAGGCTAACATCATGAACGTTGATCTATTGGGACATGACGACATGCGTCAACCAAGTCAGCGAGCCAGACAACTTGATCCAAGGGGCGGTGGGGTAGCCTAGTGGTTAAAGCGTTGGCTCGTCACTCTGACGACCCGGGTTCATTCCTCATATGGGTACAATGTGTGAAGCCCATTTCTGGTGTCCCCCGCCGTGATATTGTTTGAATATGGCTAAAAACGGTGTAAAACCCAACTCACTCACTCACTCACTTGATCCCATCAGTTGCTTTACGACAAGCATGGGTTACTGAAGACCGATTCTAACCCTGATGTTCACTGGGATGCATCAGTTGGTTATGTTTGATGACAGGTCCATCAGTGAGTGAGTGATTGAGTTTAGTTTTATGCCACTTTCCAGCAATATCATGGCAGGGGACACCAGAAATGGGCTTCACACATTGTACCCATGTGGGGAATCGAACCCGGATCTTCGGTTTGACGTGCAATCGCTTTAACCACTAGGCTACCCCACCGCCCCTTCAGGTCCATCAAAACAGACACTGACCTGTGTTAATAATGATACGACCAAACAGCACTTGCAAGTGGAAAATGATGACATGTGACATCATATACTCGAGTTCCATTTCATATTTAAATGTTTCAACTAAAAAAGAATTTCCAGCCAGTAATGAGGGTATCATTGGAGCGATCATGAGAGGGTTTGTTGTACATACTACCAACCCTGGTGCCATGAAATAGCTGGAGTGTTGCTGACTGGGACATTAAACTACATTCAATCACTTACTCTGCAAAAGCACACTTGTTTCAACAATATTTAACAATCTGGCCATGTTTTACCCCAGGTGTATGTCCCCTATACTTGATGACCCTTCTGGCCATGTTTTACCCCAGGTGTATGTCCCCTATACTTGATGACCCTTCTGGCCATGTTTTACCCCAGGTGTATGTCCCCTATACTTGATGACCCTTCTGGCCATGTTTTACCCCAGGTGTATGTCCCCTATACTTGATGACCCTTCTGGCCATGTTTTACCCCAGGTGTATGTCCCCTATACTTGATGACCCTTCTGGCCATGTTTTACCCCAGGTGTATGTCCCCTATACTTGATGACCCTTCTGGCCATGTTTTACCCTTCTGGTGTATGTCCCCAGGTATGCTTGATGACCCTTCTGGCCATGTTTTACCCCAGGTGTATGTCCCCTATACTTGATGACCCTTCTGGCCATGTTTTACCCCAGGTGTATGTCCCCTATACTTGATGACCCTTCTGGCCATGTTTTCCCCCAGGTGTATGTCCCCTATACTTGATGACCCTTATGATCCCAAGCTTCGAACATTTCTAGTTTCTAAACCAGGCATGTACCTTAGCCATTACGTTACAATACATGCTGTAAAGATTTCAGAAACTTGATTTTGGTTTGTTTTTTTAGTGTTGAAAAACCGGACAGGCAAGTTTGTATCCGGACTGGTAATTTTTTAAAGGCTTGGAATTTTGGGAGTTTTAAACACTGCCTAAATTCTTCTATACCACTCACAACAAGTTAAACACCACCCAAATGTTGTTTTTTTCTCTCTAGTTAATCATGACTGACTAGATATGTGAAGGAATTCTCTAACCTATTTTTTACAGTATATATTGGAGTTACTGTATTTACATTGACATGTCTGTAAAGTGTGAGTCATGGTACTCAGATTTACTTGGAGCAAATATTTTTGTGTCACTGCTTACGGACATTTTTTGCAAAAAGTAGGAGTGATATTATATATTTTCGACACAGGATGCTTTGATGCAGGATATCCATTTAAACCACTTTTCGTTTCAGTGTTTTCTCACTAAAGTGAAATGGTTTGTTCAGGATGTAATTCAAGTACAGAGTCAGCTGGGGGTGCACCAAACAGCTTTGGTTGTACTTAACTACTCTTTATAAGAGACGACAAAATAAAAAAATCCATGTATAAATTACCATATTCCCCGTAACAAGTATTCTTGGAATTTCAAATATAACCTTTAATTATTCAAATGTAAGCAATTGTGCACATACAGATCTAATATCAATTAAACTAAAACGTTTTTAATAACATTCAAGAGCAAATTCTGTACGATAACAGGGAGGCGAATTTCAAAATGTATATGAAAATACCAGCAGTTTCTTGGCAACAATTCTCGACCATGATCAGTATGGGGACGGTAGTGTCATGGTGTGGGGCGCTATCACACATTACAGACAAACTGATGTGCTTTAGTGAATAGACGTTTGACTGACCAGCGATAAACTGCCGAAATTTTGCATCCTGTCATTGTTCCATTTGCTGGTATTACAAACAGAAATTTTGAACTGAACATGACAATGCCAGACCAAGGTTGTCAGTGAACATCTCCAAAGAGAGGGCATACTGACGCTGAACTGTTCTGGAAAATTCCCTGACATGACCCCAAAAGACCATCTGTGGGATGTTCTCAGGGAGACAGAACATGCAGAATCCCAACCGGTTCAAATGGACCCAGGTTGGTGTCTCTCTCCAGGCAGAATGGTGGGCAACACTAAGTAGCAACACACATACAACATTACTTCAGGGTAGCGAACCACAAAGCCGTCATAGCGCTGCGACATCCGTTACCCTACGATAAACTACAGAGTTCCGACAGGTCGTAACATTATGAAGGCATTATGGATGGGGTCCCAGACATCGTCAGTACACCTTCACTATCATGTCATTTCATCCCTTCCCCAGACCACCTCCGTGGTGTAGTGGTTAGAGTGTCCGCCTGGAGAGAAGAAGGTCGCGGGTTCGATCCCCGACCTCGTCATACCAAAAGACGTTAAAATATGGTACTTGTTGGTCCCTGCCTGGCGCTCGGCATTAATGGGTACAAGAAGGACTGGTCGGCTCGGAGTCAGTATAATGTGTCTGAGTTGGGTATTCATGCTTCACTGCGGCATGGTATCTCAGTGGGCTAGCACTATAAAACCAGCTTATGTCTGGGCTTGTACAAGCAGCCGCATATACACATACACACGCATGTATGTCGTCATATGAGCGAAATATTCTCAAGCAAGACGTTAAACCCAATTTCACCTCACCTTCATCCCTTCCCTTATATGTTGTCGGTAGTATAAGCAAGACAATATGGACTGTCATGAACAGTCTTCCTGTTTTCTCAAATAGTAATACAAGATTACTCAGAATCTACTCATTAGGACTCAAGCTGGTCTAGGGGGTGGATTGGAGAGTTTATGCTGCAGAAACAGTACAAAAATGTTTCCCAGAAGCCAAAAACCCATATGGTACTTGTGTTCATGAAGATGCGGCGATGGACAATGGTGTGATTATACCTTGTAGACTGCAATATTTCAGAGACAAGAATGATAACATAGACAAGCTTAGAATCGTATATCATCAGGCTTCACAACATCGAGATGCTACATGATCACATCAGCTACGGTCATGCAGACAACGCCATACCACCCATGTCTCAGTGTACAACATCAAGAAGCCACAACAGCTGATTGTTGACTGTTTACCTCGAATAAATAGCAGACCCACTGCAGACAGACTACACAGCGTTAGCTCCTGCTCTTTACCATGACAATAATATCTCTTACTTTGTCTTTAGTCTTGACATTCAATGCGTACATGCCACATATTAATTTAGTATCTAAAACTGACTTGAGTGAAATTATTAAAAATAGAGATGAAATGTAAGCGTGTACTGTGTAAAATACAGATGCTTGAAATTAAAACACATATTTACACCTACGGCCTTTCACTTTCATTAGTTGGTTTACATCAATATATGGATTAGAATTTCATATAGGTGTTTGGTAAACCCACATGGAGGTTTGTTCCGCTACTACAGAAAGTACAAAACTCATAGGTCACACTATCACAGAAGTATGATTGTAAAAAGACACCAAAAGTTAATTGATTGGGATTTTTTGTTACAGTAACGACTTTTGTACATTATTTACCATTTTAAAGAACTGCGTGATAACATCCAGTGGTATTTTTGTTTTCCATTTAAAGTATTTGTTAAAACAGTCATCCCAAAATATTCTTTTTCTTTCTAGTTTCAGATTTGTTGCCTCGTAAACCAACTAAAAAAATCGGCCTAAGAAACTGTAAACTTGTGCAGTGCAAATTATTCCAAACAGGACTGTATTAAACTCCAAGTCCAAATGTTCTACACACTATCAAGGCAATAAACCTAATCTTCACACTAAGTGATTTTTCATTTAGAATGATAAAATTAAGAGTAATTTTGGATTCATAGTAGATACACGGTTAGTCCAAATAGTAAGTAATTTGATGCAATGATAATGAAATGACAAGTCATATGATGACTGCCTCATCAGCGGCCTATGGAAAGCACTAAAACTACTGTAAGCATGTACAGCCGTCCTAGTTTCATCAAACACATGCCTTTACCCAAACCTACCTCTTACACGGTCCTTTCTCCAGTTTTTGAAAAAAGTTCAAGAATTTACCACCTATCCCCGAAAATACACAAGAAAAATAATAAATCTCCTCTATATGGCAAAAAACATGGGAACTAAAACGATGAGATTAATTTGATTAGAAAATTAGATTATGAGAATGATGATTAATGTAAATTCTAAGGTAGTTGTTTATATGGTTAGGAGCGAAATAATTTCTCTTGCATTTAATTTTGTAGGTGAAGCATCAAAGAAACAGATTTACTTCATTCCAATCAGGATCATCTGGAAAATTGACTATTTGTCGGTACAATATTTTCCTTCCATTTTAAATCAAATATAAACCAACTGCCCACACACCATACAAATTTATCTCATCATTTTAATTCGTAACAATAAATGTCTAACTACCAAGTACCTAGCGCAATACTCTGGAATGTAAACTAGCTAATATTTGAGTTTAGAAAACAGAATTAACAGGAATTCCAAGTTATCAAGAAAAGAGATAAAAGTGAATGTTTAACTGGGTGACAACCTACCCCTATCATATTCCTTTTTCAAAGATCATATTCTGTTTTGAAGGATCCTTTTTGCTCTTGAAGGACCATACTTATTTTTCAAGTATCATATTCCTGAATTACTCTGTTACAAAACAGCTACAATCACAGAAAATTAATTCCCCTGTAACTAACATTAACTGGATGTAAGAAAACGGCTGGTAGCAATTCAGAAAACCTGTAACTTTGATTTGTCGCAAAAAGTTAAACTACTGGATGTTAATCCAGTCTCTATATTTTCCAGGGCCATCATCAGTTACATCTACATCGAAAAACATCGTACCAAAAATGAGTATATTTCAGTGAAGCCCAGGTTAGCACATCCTCTGTATTTAAAGGGCTGGCATTTCAGTTAACCTACACTAACCCTCAATACCTTCCTGTACTTCACACAAATTTACACTCCCTTGAATTTTGTTATCATTTTACTGACCAATCAAACATTGGGACAAGAGACAAAGAAATGGAACAGTGGGGATGTGTAATTATTCAGTTAAAAAGATTGTTTTGTGATCAGTCAGTTTTTTAATGTAAAATTCCCAGCAAACTGTATCATACAAGACGGCTGCCATGTTGTTGAGGTTAGTTTGTAACTTGCATTCTGATTGGTCTGTAAAACTGAGTATTGTAGCAAATCAAATTGGCCCAAACAATTGAAGGACAGGTTATCTGAGATTGTGAGAGCCACAAGAATGGATCCAGGGGTTAGAGCAGGATCAGGTTAGTCAAGCACATGTTGAATCCCTTCAACCCTGATCCCCATATTTTCCCTACACTGCTACAGGTCAAGAAACTGTTGAAAATGTGAGACAAAATAACTGATGGACAATCAACGGTTTTCTCGACCTATACAATCGCCAAAGGTGATGCAAAATGAAATCAAACGATGATATCAACAATGGGCCTTTATATGAAGAGATAAATCTTTACAATGTACACCTAGTGATTGATACAGGCTTTTAGTGATCTTTACTCCGAAGACCATGTATTAAACTTATGGTATGTAAATACTGGAACACACTACACGTAAACAAAGAGTGTTTCACAGACGATACCAACTTGACAATAATAACAGCTAAAAAATATTGAGGAAAAAATACTAAAGAAACATAGACATTCCCCATGTTGTCTTTTAACAAAACATATATGATGACCAGTATATTCTTGGGTGGCTTTGGACAATTTCCAGAGGAACTAATTATTCTCATTCCGTAATCCACAAAAATCAAATTTAAAATAAAAATCCATTAACTTTGAACTTGTAGGAAAATACAGAAAACAAAATGTTTCTTATGTATGCAAGTATGCTCAACACTGACCATCACTCAAACTATTAATGAGAAATTATTTATTTCAGCGTGTTCTGGAAATGAGATAGAAACACATTCTGAAAATAGTCCACTGCCTTTGTGTATTCATCGTCTTGAAACAGAGATTTAGGGAGTGACAAACATAATGAAGACGAACCTGGAGCTAAGTAATGACGTGATCGGCTCGGTGAGGTGGGAGGCGTTCTCACTGCATTCGGGTATTGTGTGGGGCGCTGATAGCCAGTCAGACCCTCCGGGGTCATCCGAGCAACAGCCATCGCCTGGAATAAAATCAGCATAATTAGTGACGTGAATCAAATTGAATCCATTATCGAATTCACAGATACAAATATATGTAGTTATCATTTACTTCAGTTTTTACAAAACATATCAATAATGTAGCTTTGAAAGAGGAAGTTAATTCAACATATTATATCATAGAAAAGGAAGTTGTTCAGAGAAGCGAATTTCTTGTAGAAATAATGGCGATGGTAAGTTTTTTGTCTTCAGTGACAATGAATAATCAATGACAATAATGGAATAAAATGTCAAAAACATTCAACAAACATTTACATAATTAGTCAGATAACAAACTTGTTAAATGTAAATCATGCTTTACAGAGTTTCTTAGTAGGTATTAGTAGTACTAGTAGTAGGAAAACTAGCTACACGTAAATCTATCCGCGGGTAATACTGGTGTTATATTCATTGTGAATGCTTGGAACAAATTAAAATATTAATTGAGAGGTTATGTCAACACATTAAAAATCATCTATCAGGAAAATAAATACAACTTGAAAAGCAATTACTAAGTGACATAGGTTCAACATATTTAAACTGGGGTTCGGTTAATCACAACACCAAATTGACTTGTCAAAGCTGCACACATCTGTACTTCTGTCTAAGTATGAACACCATTTAATACTGTTACATTAACTCTTTGTGTATTCTAAATATATCTCCTCAAACTATACATTATTTCATACTGTTACTGTAACTCTTTGTGCATTCTCAGTATATCTCCTCAAACTATATATCATTTCGTACTGTTACAGTACTTTGTGTATTCTCAATATATCTCCTCAAACTATATATCATTTCGTTACTGTTACAGTACTTTGTGTATTCTCAGTATATCTCCTCAAACTATATATCATTTCGTACTGTTACAGTACTTTGTGTATTCTCAATATATCTCCTCAAACTATATATCATTTCGTACTGTTACAGTACTTTGTGTATTCTCAATATATCTCCTCTGACTATTATATTAGGTCAAATTCGTAAAATCTGTTAAAGGTTATTTTTCCATGTGTCCACAATAGTTTAGTGTCTGGAAGTGTTTGTATATGTGGGACATCCTGATATACGTACGCTCATGCAATGCTGTAAGCAGTAACTTTGGACTATACCACACCAGGCCACACTTCTAGCAAGTAAAACACTTCACCTGGGGGGTTACCTGAGCCTGCGTCAATCGCAAAGGCTCTGCAACTTTTCTCATCAAAGGATTTTCATCACTGTCCTGTTTCCCAATGCAACCCAACTTGAAGGATGCTCCTCGGCGACTCAGTTTCCGTGGTGGCGGTGTCGGAGGGGTCTGTTCACGCTCATAGTCACTGTCCTCTTGCGGAAGACTGAAATCGCGCAGATCATTGAGACAAACACATTCATCCTCAGGTAAAGATGCTACATGCAAAAGACACAATAACATGTACAGTTACTGTAATTAGCACCTGGCTGATCTCTTAAGAAAGGACACATATCATGACAGGTGCTCTTTCTGGGGAAAATAACTTGGTTCAGCTTAATTATAAAATAGTGCAGGCCATTTTGGTTATTTAAAAAGTCGGCCCTGCAATTAGCAGTGTTGACAGTGTTTGGTCTATACTTCCATAAGTGCTCTTTGTTTGTCATGAACAGTTAGTAAATAAACAACTAAACAACTGTCAATTAGTGTTGTTTCAGGGACTCCAGATGATGTCTCTGTTTTAAGGATTCTGGGTTCCCCCGATCCACAAAGCATTCATAGTGCTACAACATTCGTAAGCCTATGATAGACTATAGAGTTACCACAAGTCGTATTGCTTTGAACACTTTGTGGACATTTTTTATTCCTGTGTAATAAAGTCAACAATGACATAGGTGTTGGCTTTTGGTATCCTTGTCATCAAGAAGAATGTTCCAATTTTCCAGGTTGATGTCAAAATATACACAGACATATATACTTATACATAAATTTGAACACAATTATTCCATCTCCAAATGTTCAGCCAAAATACATGGCATGTTAAACAATTCCATAAATGTTGGTCTGCGTGTCTACTGAAGATGACACTGAAAATATTTTGATAATACAAACAATGACTTCTATCCCATACTTACTAAACAGACAATGTATTCAACAGTGAACAGTGACAAATACCTAGATTACATCTTGGATTCTTTATTGAGGGTGTTATAGGTTAATCAATGTCACAGAATATAACCATACATAAAGTCCTACCTATAATTAAAAGTGCAATAACTTAACTGCCCACTGAATGATTGGCTTGTCTTCACCATAAGTCTCTATTTTCAAACATCTGACGAGGCGCAGATCATTTGTAAATCCATAAGATCTTTGTCCATCTCTCACCAATGCATTAACATTTAAGCACTTTATTGAATCTCAGCGTTTACGTTGAGTTTAAATGCCAAATAATGAAAACAAAAATACAAATCTAATCAATTTGATGCAATGGAATCTTTTTCGATGTCTTCCCTTCAATAACAATCTTTTTCCAAATGGTTGCCAATGACATCATTATGAGCAGATATGGGGAGACAAGCCAGTCTTCAAGGAAACCAAATGATTGTTAAAGTTAATAAAAAAACTCACTCCCTGTAGACATAAATGCCATGCTTCTTGGTCATCTCTGGAGGATTGAGGACATGAGTACGGTTGTTAGGTATGACGTGTTCACCGAGAACAAGCGGTTGGGGGGAGGTAGCAGAGGAGTGCGTAACAACGGTTTCCAGGTCGGAGTCTCCCCCCTGTCCCTCGTCTCCCTCCCCTTCGATTCCCTCCTCCCCTTCACTCTCCTCACCTTCAGAGGATATCTCGCTGTAACAGATTCCAACGCCCTGTTAAACCACTGCCACCAAACATCCACCATCCGAACTCATGTAACAGATTCCAACGCCCTGTTAAACCATTGCCACGAAACATCGATCATCCGAACTCACGTAACAGATTCCAATGCCCTGTTAAACCATTACCACTAAACATCGATCATCCGAACTCACGTAACAGATTCCAACGCTCTGTTAAACCATTAACACTAAACATAGATCATCCGAACTCATGTAACAGATTCCAACGCCGTTAAACCATTGCCACTAAACATCGATCATCCAACTCATGTAACAGATTCCAACGCCCTGTTAAAACATTGCCACTTAACATCGAACTCATGTAACAGATTCCAACGCCCTGTGAAACCATTGCCACTAAACATCGATCATGCAAACTTGCTGTAATAGATTCCATGGCCTGGTTTAACCATTGATACCTAGCCTTGATCATCTGAACTGATGTAACAGATTCCAACGCCCTGTGAAACCATTGCCACTAAACATCGATCATGTAAACTTGCTGTAATAGATTCCATGGCCTGGTTTAACCATTGATACTTAGCCTTGATCATCTGATTTAACTGTAACAGATTCCATGGCCTTGTTAAAGCATTGCCACTAAACATCGATCATGCAAACTTGCTGTAACAGATTCCATGGCCTTGTTAAACCATTGCCACTTAGCCTTGATCATCTGAACTCATGTAAAGGCTCAGTCACTAAACCTTACCTATCAGAAGTCCATGTACTCCCACTGCCTTGAAAAACCATTGTTAAACCATTGCAACCTTAAATATCAAAACTCATAGTATTACGTAACAGCCTTGCTAAACCATTGCCATTAAACCTTCATTATCAGATCTTACTTAAACAGATTCCACAGCTTTGTTTTACAATCAGATATATTCCCACATGGGTACCCAGTAATCTTTATGCAACCCCTTAAAGTTATTACAGAGGTTCCCACAATGTCAGCTGGTCTTGTGAGATGCCAACCATATCAGTGATGTCACCAAATGGGCAAGGAAAACTCAGGTTAAGTCAGGGGTCTCTCAACAGAACATGATGTGAAGAAAAATAACAGAGTAATCTGGATAAACAGTGTTAAGGTTAGAAAAACCAGAAAATAAACTCAATCATGGGGAGATAACTCCATCTCACCTGCTCTTCTCCGACTGTTCACTCACTGATTGTTCACTTGATTCACTGTTAATATTTTTAATTTGTTTTACATTTCATTGGAAATAGGATAAAAACTTAAACAATGTTTTCTCACAATTTGATCAGATTACTTCACCATAACGCATTCCCAGGGCTCCAGATAAGGGCCGTATTGGCGTATGTACAGCTATAAAATAAGCACGATACTGGAGGAAATAATTTAGAAAACGTAGCAGATATGCACCACAGCAATGGTGTACAGTCTTAGAATCATTTACAGACGTATTTATCTGAAAAAGTATTTTTGTTTATTGACCTGTTTACACAAGAGTAGCAATGTTGTTGTGCATATATGAAACGAAACACAAGATTACTGATCCACCATTAAATTCCATTCAGTACTCTAAATGTACTCTTATTGTATTCCAGTACTCCTATATTGAAAAAATAAGGAGTACGTACTGCTGATCATGAAAAATTATCTGGAGCCCTGCATTCCTACTTAACACAGTGAATCCTGGTCTGTCAGGACCCTGATACACAATTCAAGTCTACAATGATCGACATAAACATTGTAATTATTGTCTCGCATAAAATCGACCCATTTCACTTAAGGAAATTTTGTCCTTAAACCATGCATTTGTTTTCTATGAAAGAGAGCAGCTGGACAATTTCATGTGTTTCAGAAAAACCTGGACTTCCAGTAAACAATTAATTATTTGTAAATAGCAACATATCTGTATTAGTATCTGACAGATTGACATCCTTTCCTTGCAAGCATATACTACAGCAGAAAAGGCAAAGCAACTTATATAAGCAAGGGCGATAACTCTACCTTGACTTGCTGTCTCGTCTCTGGTCTTTAGGTGGCTCAGGTGGTATATTGAGCGATGGACGGGGTGACGGGGTGTGGTTCATCTGGTTCCGGCTCTCTAGGTTGAGGTGGTTACAAGACCCGGTGGCCAAGTTACCATTGATGTTCTCCTTAATTAACCAAGTGTTAACAGGAGAAACCTTGGGGTTCTCCTCAGCAGGTTTTCCTTTAAGTGATTGTGTGCGGTTTAAGAATGGAAGAATTGGTCGTGTGTATCCCGCTATGGCACTAACCACACTGCCGAACAGACCATGATTTCTCTGAAAAGAGCCACATCAACAAAACATTTTAACACAAACTTTTCAAAGATAATCACATTTGGCTTCCCCTTTGTTCTTCCATCATCCAAAAATAGTTTGGACACAGTTCTTACAGCTCAAACATCTATAATTAATCATTAAACACAGGAACTGTTTGTCCAGCTGATTGACGACTGTCCGAAGGGTATGACCAGGTTAAACAACAGATGCACTAAGTCTATATCACCATCATCAGCTGCTCGAACTGACATGAGCCAATAAAAGCACAAGACAGATGAACTGAACCGGGGAATGTTTCAACTTAGAAGGAAGATTGTAATACAATGGCATGGCCACAATATAGAAACAAAGATGAAAAAAAAAGATACTTGCTCAGCTTCATGCCAAAATAAAGTTTGCTATCTTACATATAAGGAAACAACATATATTCTATATGTATATTTCACAGTTATAGGATAACAACAGTTGTCATGTATACACTATGACTGTTATAGACAAGATAGAAGCCATATAGTAGAGTTGGTATTATGTACATGGTTATATAGAGTACAGGTGTATATTGAACTGAAACAAATTTCAAAGAGCTACTTTGAAGAAGTAACAGCTGCAGTTGCATCCATTGCCTGGTTAATATAATGGACTGTTTGTCAAACAATGTCTTATTAATCGTAGGGGTGTGCTGGATTTTGGATATGGACGAAAGGTGAAGATTATTTTCTGTTAACGGAGAATAGGAAGATCTTGACAGAGGGTGAAAAAGAATTCTGCAATTGTAGGTGAAAAAAATATAACTGTGCACAAACTGGAAGTATGCTCATATTCCATTTCAGATTTGTAAAAACAGTTTGATGAGATTGTAAACTGTACCATCTTTGAAATAATTTTTGAGAAAGGTTTTCAAATTTAGTTTCAGAAAACTGTGCACCTGTGAAATTGAATATTAAGCTTTACCAACCCTATGCATAGGTTCTTCTATATCTTTATCTAAGAATTCCTCGTCATCCAAATTTCCTGATATGGCGCGTCGTATTTCCGGCCCAAGGTCGTGAACTGCTCGCAGACCCGCCTAAAAGACAAACACATCAGGTCTCTAATGCTACACAGAGTATCAAGGGAGATAATCTGCATTACCTATCTGTTAGTAAAGAAGGCTTAGTTTTTTGGCAAAGTGGGGGGCCATTTTTCAAGAGTCTTAAAGATATTTGTTTTGTTTTCTCAAAACATTGAAAAGCAGTTTTTTTAATAAAACCTTTTATAAAAAAAAGAAGTTAAGTGCTCATGTCACTGAGAGATCCCACAGAACCCATGGTAACAATTTTAGTCAAAAAAATTACCCATCTTAAATAAATGGATATAAAGATCTAGTTGAATATATTTGACTGGAATGTAATAATACTGGTTGGTATGAAGCATAATTGTTTCACACAATCCCTAGAAAACCCCCCATTCCTTTAAGTCCTAAATGTGAACATGAGCTAAAACTGAACATTTAGTTTTCAAACATCTTGCTGGTAGTCCTTATATTTTAACCGTGACTGGCATATATGCTGAAAATGGCCCAACACTAATCAGACAGTAAAACTGAAAGCCATAAAAGAAGGGAGCCAAAAGATGGGATAAGAAAGGACACCAATTCCGGGATGAAGCAGTGTTGAAGGTTAGAATGTCAAGCAATTAAATGTTTCCATGTCAACATTGGCCAAGGTCGAAGTGCTGTAGAGACCATTTCTGTGCAGAATCTAGCTCTATATCAGGACTATCCTAACTATTATCTACTACCTGTTCAAAAGTGCAAAATTTCTCATCCAAAATGCTGAAAGCAATACAGGTTATTCAGATGCAGAAAAATATTTTGTTTAAAAAAAATATTCTAAACTATATATTATCTTAAATAAAAAGTGCTCTATCCTAACTTCTATAGAGGAAGGTAAGCTACAGCCCCTATACTCTTGTAACAAGATGTTTTCCTGGCAAGCAACATTCTTGTGGGATGGCAAAGCTCAACAAGCAAAGTGAAGTCCTTGGAAAGCATTCACATGCATGGTTATTCACAGAAAAAACTTTAGCATGTTATCTTTCATTAGCTATCACCAAGCCATACATTCAAGCATGGACAGAACAAGGAGAGTCTGAAGTTCATCACTGTCTAATGGGTGCCTGTGTTTCACATTACAAGTAACTGTTTATTCAGGGAGGGTCAGCAAGTTCTTTCTTTTACATGCTGACTACCTTTGGCTCTTGACCAATAAAGGGCTACAAAAGAAATGGGTATTATTTAACAAATGCTGGAGTGAATGAAATGATTTTACGTAATTTTCAGATAAGTATCTTCCTTCCATGTGGATCTATATCTTTTCACATTTATCAAAGTTGTGTTCTTGTTTTTCAGATGGCGGACAATCTGAAGAAACTGTATCCTGTTGCATGATGGTAGGTGTGATCTCTAGTACTGGTATATTTGTATGCATGGCAAAAGCCTTCCATAAGTAGTGTAATTCAGATACTTTCTTAAAGATATTCTTCTCACAAAAATCTTTATTATAGGTATAAGAAGATTCAGTGTATGATGCAAAACAAATTTCCCTTGGGATAATAAAGAAATTATCTTATCTTTTCTTTAGCTTCTGTCCGTAAAAGTGACAAATCCCTATCCAGTACCACAAGAAATCTGAGCTAAAAGCAGTACAGTGTATGATTCCGACGTTTTGCATGTGTGACGACATCAGGTGTTCGCGAGAAGGTGAGCATGTCCTGCACCAACTGACAACAAAGCCTATCTGCTACAACGATGGATGACTTAGCTCCTAGTCACTGATACAAGATAGGCTGACAGATACAGGATGTCGAAGCTGAACAACATGCAAATCTCATTAGTATTTCAACTGAACCGTGACACATAGACAGTCTTCTTATGCACCTTTCCAAATTATTGAAAGAAATACCAGGGAATTACTACAACCTATTTGCTCAATTTCTAAATGTGTGTGCAGTGATTTTGTACTAAATTTCTATGTAAAATTGAACAAAACTTTTCTATGTAAAATCATAACCAAATTATAAAAGTTCATGCTCAATGTTCGATTGACATAAATTAACATAGACATATATATCTAGCATCTTCCTGGCATATACTTGGTTAATTCAGGCTCTGTATGCTGAGGCTAGGTAGTATATGTCTATGAGATCAGCAAGCAGCGATGCACTATCTAACAGCATAGCTACATGTATAGGAACAAATCTGGTAAATAAATACATCTGTGCTATATATACAATACAAACATTCTGTAGTACTACATAACAAACAGTATGGTTACATGATGGCAATGAGATGAGTAGATGATGAAACAACACTTGTAAATAAACAGTATCAGAAAGGCTCTTAGTGTTGACTGCTAAATATTATCATGCATTGATCAATGTATACAAGGATAAAGATGGATAAATAATGATGTAAGGCAAAACTTACATCATGAATGTTAACATGAAGATGTAAGACTTGGATCCGTGGCAGGAAAGTGGCAGATTGGCATATTTGGTTCTAAGGTTGGAATTTTCATGTGGCCTGTTTTAAACTTGGGAGATGAAATTTTGTTTGTTCACTTTATACATACTTAAGTCTGCATATACACACTACAAAAATTATGCTGAGGTTGTTGTGGAAGTTACTGTTGGTTTATTTCTAGTGATAATTACTGGCAGCAAATGTTGATGACTATGTCAAATCCTGTAATCTGCACAGGATGTGTGATTCAGAGTTAACTCCCTTGTCTGTTGATGACAAACTTTATCGTTTGAGAAGTTTCAGGATTGAACAGCTAAAATCAGCAACATGAGAGCAATTTGGGGACCTAAAACAACATACGCTTTATCTACTTCCCAAGGGGTGGCCATTGGGGTAGCCACGTGGTTAAAGTGTTTGTTTGTCATGACAAAGACCCAGGTTTGATTCCCCACATAGGTACAACATTTGAAGTCCATTTCTGGTGTTGCCTGCAGCGATATTGCTGGAATATTGCAAACCAGTGCAAAAAGCTTACTCACTCACTTCCCAAATGCAGACGGAATTCCTATATGAACACACGACTCCATCCAGCTCCCAACACTATTCCAGAGCATAGAGTTCGCGTGCGTTTCTTTCAAGACATTTGACAGTGACAAATTTTGTCAGGGTCTGTTACTCATTGCTGCTGCCACATATTTGACTCATTGAATTGCCTATTGTGTTTGTAAACCTAAAACTGTGTTTATCAATGCAATTTCTGAATTATTCATTGATTTTGTGTCAGCAATTTGTATTCTGTAGGAACTCATTTCTGGGTTGTCTTTCTGCTTCCATTGGAAAATCACCTTACAATAAGATGATGAAATTAATGATATAAAGGTACATTTGTTTTGGAATGAATTTCACCATTCAACACCAAAATATGTAACTGATTCTCAGCATATTAAAGGAATGGTATATACCAGGTGATGTCAATGCCAATTTGGGCATATTACTTTTTAAAGCCTGAAGGTATTTTAACAATCTGCCATAGACAACTCCCTGCCATGGCTCTCAGTCTTATAAATATGTTTGGATATAATTTCATGCTAAAATTTAAAAGATTGAAGATATTGCAAGTCATACTTCATAATTATACACCACTGTTTGAGAAAATGAATAATAATTATGCATTTAAAATTATATCTATAACTTTTAACACATTCATAGAGTTTTGAAAATTATAAAGACTTCTTACATTTATGTTTGATGTATTTGGGCAGACAACAGGATAGTACTTTTATAGCATAAAATATCTATAGTCTACATCAACAAATCTCAATCATTCTTTTAGCTCACCAACACAATGTGGCGAATTACAGTTGAAATCAATAAAATCAAGCAAAATATTTTGCAAAATTCTGGTACACATTCTTGGGAGAATCACTTTTGAGTGCAGTCCAACATTCATGAGGTGAGCTAAAATGATCTGTTTCAAAATCCATTTTCACTATCTCTCAGACATAGAACCATGTAATAAGTTTCAAGAAATAGAACCTTGAAATAGGTTTCAAGACATAGCACAGAGCTACTGGATTCACAATTTGAACTTGTCGAGGCAGGACAGATATAGGCAGATAGGCATTGTTGGGTCCAAGTCCCCTCTGCTTGTCATGCCTCAAGTCCTGATGAGGACAAGAGTTGCTATGTTTGATGAAGCTTCAGGTGTACCATTGTTTCTTAATGTTGTTGACTGGTACAGCAGGTGCCCCTGGTGGATTCTGGGTACGACTAAGTTCCCAGCAAACCAGTCTGGACACGTCAAGCAGCCATACACTCACATTGCTTCATATGTGAAACAAGCTTACAACGCTGCACCCCATCTCACCCTATCTCACTGCACAGTGGTAGCCATGTGGGTTGGTGGTTGCCTGTCCTGCATGAGATCCAGGTTCTACTCCCACAGACAAACCCATTCTCAGTACCACCACCCTCCATTACAATGCTGCAACATCTGACTCTCACACATATATGCAATGAATAACTGAACATATTCCATCCCCAACCAATAGACTCCGCTATTCTGAAACAGAACATATCTCCCCATCATCAAGACATGGATTTTGAAACAGAATACACTATTCTAGAAAAGGAGACATGAAAGGTACTTACATGCAAAGCGTTGGTATGTTCCTGGCCTTTCTGAATCTTTTGCATTTGTTCTTTGCGTTTCTTAAAGCGCCGGAAATAGTCTTGGATAAGAAATGTTGCATAGAATTTCCCCACTGTGACATCGTCATCCCCTGAAATCCAATGCAGTCTTCCCAATTAGTATGCGTCATGTAACAGTTGGTGAGAGAATGCAGAACGATGCCTGGTATATATATACGATATCATTCCATGGAGACAATGCTACACAGGACATGGTACATACAGAATATGCCATATTCAGCCACAGGAATGTAGTTGCAATGGTTATGTTGCTATGGATACAGAATGCACATGAACTACGTTAGCATTGCCCTGGATCAGGATGTAACATGGCAGTTAAGATAAGGGATGCTTCCAACGATATTAGCTTGTACATTTACACGAGATTCGGCACCATTTGGAGAAAATGTTCACATTTCTACATTACAATTTACACATTTATACATGGTTCTTTGTATTCTTCACCAGTGTGTACTGTTACCGGGGTATATGATTCAATTGTTAAAATATCAGTTGTAAGAACATAGGATTATGCACAAAATATTTCATTTGGAAGCAGAATACGTCCAAATAAATTATGTTACAAAAATCTGTCACCCAAAAATATTTAATTAATAATTTTACAATTTTAATATAAAGTGTTCAATCACAACCATATGATACTAATATGAAATTTGTGAGAGGATTCTAAATTGACAAATTTATATTGTTAAGGACAAGGATATTCGCGCATGAATTTGACACAGTGTTGCATGGTGGGTAATCCTACAAAACATGAACATTTCTCTAATGCCATCCTCTAAAGCTCTAAATGATATACTGAGCTTGCTGAATATACACATACAGTAATACATAAATTAATTGTAGCTCCATAGATCACGTTAGCTTGGCATATGCTTCAGGCATAGACAAATGACATACAATTACATCAATATATAAGAGACAACAGTACCAGGTACTGTACGTTATTGAAAAGATTATAACACTGCAAGCAAAAGGGTGCTAAATATCATCAGCTTCGCAAACAAAACATGCCCTTTTTGTTTTAACAAAATACTGCACTTATGAAATCATAATAGTAATATTTTGAACATTTTCACCTGCAGCAATGTAATATGAAAAATGTGTGGACAACGATCAATCTTGTGACTATTGTCAACTTTACAATCACAATTACAGAAGAACTGAAACTCAACAGATTCTTTCAATTTCTGCCATATTTAAATAACATTTTCTATTTTAACAAAACATTAATCAATATGATCTCTACACCACACTCAGCAATATTGAAACATAAGCCATATTATTGCACTTGAGATTAGACTAGACAATCCAGTGATTCATATTGTGTACAGCTATCAAGTCACCTAGCTGACCAATCAAATTGTTCAGTTGTCAAGCTGCTTGGGATCTATTCTATCCCAGAATTCCACAGTGGTGAAGCTGATGCTGCTTAGCTCCAACATTAACATGCTACTAACTACATACATGGTGAGTACTACATCTAGAGACTGTGCTTCATCAACATCATATTCCAGGTGTCAACATTAGACAAATAACATTGGGAAATATCCGCCAAAATTCCAATGTCGAAATAACCTGTAAACTGTGAGTCACACAAATACAAAAAAATGTTCTTAAATTAGATTAAGGAAGTGTGAAACTGAAAAAAATTTTTTTATAAATTTTAAAAATCTCAAATTTTGTTGAGATATATTACAATTAGCATTTGAAATTTAAGTAAGCTAGGAGTTTCATTTTAGTTTTTCTGCACCTGAAATACGGGTGATCTTCCACACAGTCTATGTATGATTCACCTGAGTGAATACATGTACCTGAACATCACCACACGTCAGCGTGTATCTCTAACTCCGCCAGCAGAGGGCGCTAGAACACGGTGCCACCGCACTCAAAATGTGGCTTGTCAAAACTTACACTTATCCAAAATTGTCAAGTTCAGCATTAACAATTTTCACTTTAACATCAAACATTGGAACAATATATTTTATCTCATAAAAATCTCACCACAACTAATTTGAGAACTTGACAGATTTCATACAAATCTTACAATGTGTAAGTTGTGACAAGCCTCCTGACCAGATGAAAATCTCTGAATGCACTGATCGAATGATGACACAATAAATGCATCAGCTACACGTCATCGTAATTTCCATGTTTTCCAAATAATTTGGTTTGCTGTCCAGCCATTCTTCAGTTGTGCACAGAGGGATCCCCATCGATCAAGCTTCTCTCAGGCAGACGGGCAGAAAGGCCATGGGGAGATAACTCATACCATACTTGCCTGGACCTAGCATTATTGTACAGGGATTCCTAAGTTTGGTCAGTGAAAGACCAAGTTCTCATATCAGATGTGACCACTGAGTTCATGAACTAAAATCTCTCTTCTCTTAAATGGGCAAATAATTGCACAAGTTTTAATATAGAAAGGTGACCTGAGGCTGCAATAGTCTCATTGAAGATAATCAGGGAAAGATTAAGCATAAGACATGGTAGCCATGGTTTCCATAGAAACATAAATGTATATTACTATTATTGAAAATCTGATTTTTGCAATGTTATGACAGCCAAAATACTGGACTTTTGGCAATGATGTAATAGAGGTTGTGTATTCACAGAAATCATATCTGCTTGAAACCACTGATAGTTGTGTTACTTCAAAATGATCAGGTATTTTTGCAAATATCTTGATCACGCTGTCATAAAAATATGGATTTATTGTTACTATGGTATCTACACATTTCCAATCCTCGTCTTTGGCTAGATGAAGTATGACCTATATGTTACCCCACCACCCATGATGCATCTTTGTATTATAGTAAATATCACCACCTTCATGAATTTTGTGGATAGGGATCTGCTTTCAATACTCAAACCATATGGTAAGCCATCAGTTACCACATGGGGGGCGGTGGGGTAGCCTAGTGGTTAAAGCGTTGGCTCATCACGCCGAAGACCCGGGTTCGAATCCCCACATGGGTACAACGTGTGAAGCCCATTTCTGGTGTTCCCCCGTCGTGATGTAGCTGGAATATTGCTAAAAGCCGCGTAAAACCAAACTCAGACAGTCAGTTACCACATGACCTACAAACTAACAAATTAAAACAAAGATCACCACTGTTGCCAACTTCATGGTATCCAAGTATTCACTGATACCATTTTGAGTGGTTGCTTAGCATCTTGTAATTCTGAATATGGTAAGGCTTTCATTTACCACATTTAGTTAACACTAGACTTGAAAACCTGTCAGTCATCTGTCTCACCAAAACTCACCAGGTTCCATTTTCACTTTACTCATAAAAGTCATTGCCTGCTACGAAGGTATACCGTAAAGCAGAAGATTTATTCAAGGCCACTTGACCAAAATTCACGGCTAAGAATGCCAGAGCATTTGATAAATGATATATTTTTGCAAGAGCAATAGTATGTATATGGCAATAGAAGCCAACATAGGTATAACTGTATATCCTATCTGGTCTTATGTCCTCTTATCTCCAATAAGGAATTTCATCTCCAGTCTAACCTACCGCCTCGACAAATGAGTTACCTCCCCTTGTCTTGACTGAGATGAGAGAAGGAAGGAAGAAGTTTCGACGATAAAACCAGAAAAAACCTACTGCCAGCTGGTGGGACGACTTGATCAAGAAGTTTAGGACTTGTCCTCTTCCATATTTTTTTTGATAACAGCTCTGAGCTCTTCATTTGCTGTGTCGATGTTGCCCTCCACCTTGATCTTCAGCGACGTCCGCACCAGTGCAAACAGCGTTGCGTTGAACATCACCGTACCATCACTGTTTAGTGGCATGTTCATGCTGACTAGTCTCTGCAAGGACAGCATCAAAATATTTAAATTTCATTATTTATGGATAGGTTTATGGATTGTTTCCTTTAAAAAACAAACAAACTGAAACGCAAAAAAAAATACACATATGCAAAACACATTTAATTCCTAGTAAAAAACATAATATCATTTGTTGTAGCATACTAAATATATAGTCAAAAATGCAAATTCAAATTGGTAAGTGATCTGGCTAAACAACAATAGCATGACATCATCACAATGGTTTAAATAATGACAACAGGTGTGCATACCAAAGAAGCAGTAACAAACTGATTTTGTGTACGTTGTAGCTCTGGTTAGCATGAGTGAGTGAGTGAATTAGGTTTTACATCGCACTCAGCAATATTCCAGCTATATGGTGGCGGTCTGTAAATAATCTAGTCTGAACCAGACATTCACATGATCAACAGCATGGACATCGCTCTACGCAATTGGGAACCGATGACATGTGTCAACCAAGTCAGCGAGCCTGACCACCCGATCCCGTTAGTCGCCTCTTACAACAAGCATGGGTTACTGAAGATCAATAATCTAACCTGGATCTTCACGGGTCAGCTCTGGTTGGCACACACTAATATATTACTGACCTTGCAGGCTACCCTGTGTGGACATAGTTTGCCAAAGCCAAGTGGTGGTGAGATCTTCCTCAGCAAGGTTACAACATCTAAATGTTTGATACGACCTCTGAAACAACAATTTACAACAGTCACAGTCGGCCTTTAAAAGATGTTCCCCTGAGCTATGTAACAAAATGTATGCAGATATTAACGTAAATCAAATAATTAAGGTTTGGTAAACATTATTATATTGATTGCGATTTGAACCTTTTTATCAAAAGGTAAAAATCCAAATACGCGGCGTAGTGCATCACAGCAAACATCGTAAGTACCGGGTGGATGGCATGTCTTTATGATAAAGACATTATGATGCCATGTCCCATGACGTGATGATGTGTGATCGCTGGGCAACTTTCTTTATATGGGAGCCTCAAATTAACCTGCGGTATCGCGAAGAGCGGTATAGTATACAGTTTTGTGCTAAGTAAAAGAATCAAATGGAGGGACTCTGGTAGCATTATATAGTGTTTTTAAATAAGGTTTCATAGAGCATTGTTATATAATTGTCTCTAAAAAGTATCTTTCCCTGTAATTTTGATTTTCTTTAGTTTCAATTATTCAACTCACTTAACTTCAAATTTGGTTATTCAGATGTATTACATAATTAATATTTCATTATGTTGCAATTCAATTTTTGTACTTGATGGATGGATGAAACAACTGCAAATATGAGAAAACAATCAAAGTAAAAAAATTAAATCTAACTGAAACCAAAACTAAATCAGATACATGATTTATTTTTATTTAAAATGGATTTTCCAAAATAAACTTGTAACTACACAAACATATCTAAATACTTGTCAAAATTTAAAAAACATACATTAACAAAATAAATAATGAGAACGGGTGACATTATGCCAACATAACTGAATTTAGGAAAATATTTGAAATTACATGAAAAGACTTGAAATGTCAAATGATAAATTAATAAAAACAAGACAATACTCAATGATGCTACTAAACTTACACCATTAAGCTTTAAACGAAACCATGAACTCTACTTACTTTGCTTCTGGGTCATATTCTGACCAAAGTCGAACAAACTCGTCAAGATGATGCGGACCAAGGATTGACCAATCACGAGTCAGATAGTCAAAGTTGTCCATAATAACAGCCACAAACAGGTTAATAATCTGTAATAATATACAACACATGAACTCCAAAACTGATGAGTAGACCAGATAATTAGAGAATGTTGTTTTCTGGCACAGTCAGCAATATTTCAAGTGTATCATGGCAACTATGACAAAATCAAGTCTTGGCTAATCATTGTTTAATCCTCTAAATGTTGGTGTCAAACTGTTTGAACTTCATGTATTTCCATGATGACTGTGTCAGGCATTATTTTCATATATTTAAAGTAATTTATTTTTAACGTCATATCTGAAAAAGTTTGTAAAAATATAAATACAACATGAAACATAATTTTTGAGCCTGGAGGTAAAAATGAATTAAGTTACGCAAACACTAACCAGAAATGAACAAAGAATGTAAAATGAGATGAAGTAGATAAAAGCGAAGTTGTTTCCACAAATGCTTTCTTCATGATTCGTGTTGTTGCTGGCGCCCAGGTTGGGGTCAGCCATTCTGTCACACCGTACACCAGGTCTGTTCACACAGTCCAGCATTATGTTCTGCCATGCCTCTCCTGTAGCAGATCTGTAACAACACCAGTCGGTTAGCATCTTGCTATCTTCCTCTACCATTAGCAAATACGATCTACGGAAGAACTGACTTTAAAATACCCCCATCCTTCACTGACTTTAAAATACCCCCATCCTTCACTGACTTTAAAATATCCCCATCCTTCACTGACTTTAAAATACCCCATCCTTCACTGACTTTAAAATACCCCCATCCTTCACTGACTTTAAAATACCCCCATCCTTCACTGACTTTAAAATACCCCCATCCTTCACTGACTTTAAAATACCCCCATCCTTCACTGACTGAGAATGATGCTTTTGTCCATGATGGTCAACCCATGAAGATCCGGGTTAGAATTGGTCTATAGTAACCCATGCTTGTCGTAAAACGTGATTAACAGGATCGGGTGGTCAGGCTCACTGGCTTGGTTGACACTTATCATAGTACCTCAATTGCATGGAACGATGCTCATGATATTAATCACTAGATTGTCTGGTCCACACTTCATTATTAAAGACCGCCGCCATATAGCTGGATTATTGCCGAGTGCCGCGTTAATTAAACAACAAACCAACCATGATGGTCAAGTTTTTGAAAATACAATTCAGGCAGCCTGACAGATTTCTTTTACAGTTTCTTGATGAAGAAAGTGATATGAACTTATTCAGTAGAAGACATTAAGATGATGAACATGAAGTATGCTGTAAGTGGCGTGAAACTATATTCAGTCACTCACTCACTCATGATGTAGGGAAACAACCATGACAACAATATGGATGCCATGCTTACCTAAAGAGCACCAGCACTGCGTGCGGAAAAGTTTGGAAGTTGTTATTCCTGTGGATTTCTGTCTCATCATCTAGTCGTATCTTACCAAACACCTGCAACAACATGGGGATCAGTTTCATCAAGCATTTCCAACAACTAAAACACATATTGATTCATTTTGAAAAATATGATACAACAATAACAATTCTACGATGCTTCGGTGAAAGATCAAGGTGCCGACAATACTTTATCAGACGATAATGTGCACTTTTTGCATTACGTCACAATGTATTGGCGTCACTGCGCCATTCTAGTCTGCCCCCTAGCAATCGAACAATTTTGCATTATGTCACAATGTAAGCGACATCATGATGCATGTCAGTTGTCATCGCCTCGTACAGCCTCCTACAATAAACTTCTCAGTTACATCCCATTTCTTGGTTTGCAGTTGCTTCACGCAGCTAACATCACTGGTGGAAACATTACGTTTATGTTTTCCGACGGTTAAAATGTCTCAATTCGACTAACAAGTTTTCAGCGACACGGTAACGTTCGCAATGTTTACATTCCCACAATGCAATCGTGGAATGTAGCTTGACTACTCAGCTTCATCTGGATGTACTGATCTAAACTTACGTTGGTAGTAGAAATGCGACGTTCATATTGCCCCATATGGTTTACGTTAATCACAGATGTAATTAAAATAATTTAGAGAAGATATATAATCCGAACGTAAACCGTCATCAAACTGTATATCATTTTTTTTTTCTGGTAAAGTTCGTCTTACGGTAGGGGGCCAGACACATAAAGAGATGGTACTTGTTATTATCCTGACCATCACTCATCACTAAGGGAATAGCAAGCGAGTTTAGTTCTACAGCAGGGGACACCACTAAGGGAAAAGGACAAGGACTAGATAGCTCTGGGAAATCAATTTCTGGCCAAGTAAACTGGAGCGCTTTTAGCTCAGTCGGCTGGTGCTGTAAAGCCAGAATTAGTCGTATTACAAGCAGCTACACACCTCGGCATGGACAGGTGCAACAATCCTGTTCATGACATTAAACCCCATTTCACATCAAATTGCAGTCTGATATAAGTAATTCTCCAATATTACAACCAGGAGAGTCACATATATCTGCAATCTAATGAAGCAGTCATAATATTTTTGAATCCCATAATGCCCACGAAGCCCTTCTACATTATGAAAGACCCTGTCAAGGTGAGAGTCATCTATGGGATGATACCTTATATCATTAACACTTATTATAAAACACCCAAAACTGGGTGTCAATCTGTATAGTTTACCTGCATTCCAATTACTGCATAGATAAAAAACAGCATCACAATAAGTAACGCTACATATGGAAGAGCCTGGAATGAAAGAAAACAGAAATTACTACCAAGGAAATCACCAAGCAAAATGCAACGATAAGTTATTTGTCTACATCAAATGATTTATAATAATAGCTAAAAGAGGTTGTTTGCACGTCCCAAAACATTACTTGATTTGCAATAGAAGCTTAGAAGTCTCATATGTGGCTAAACGGAAAACTTCTATATTTATATTAATTTCATCTATCCAGACATATAATCATGATCAAAACAGCAAATATTCTTTCTTCTAAAAAGAATTTAATTCATTGTCCAATCACTCATAGGACACAGTTTTGGTAGGATGCTGACCCTTATACTCATTAAACATTTCTTTACAATGGCAAGTGCTACCAGTCAGACAGAATATCGTTTTTGGTAGAAACCTGGTGTTGATGGCTGGTGTTACCAGTCAGACAGAATATCATTTTTGGTGGAAACCTGGTGTTGATGGCTGGTGCTACCAGTCAGACAGAATATCGTTTTTGGTAGAAACCTGGTGTCAAAGGCAGGTACTATCAGTCAGGCAGAATATCGTTTTTGGTAGACACTTGGTGTCAAAGGCAGGTACTACCATCGATCATTCTTGGTAGACACTTGGTGTCCATCACTGGACATAAGTGATACATTCACATTATTTTGACACTACTTTGCCACATTGGATGGCAAAAGAAATCTGTTTCACCAAATGACTCAGAAAGGTTATTTTGCAGCAATGACATTGTATATGATTAACCTACCTGGAATGATTTTATGAACGTCCAGAGGAGTGTTCGTATGCCTTCTCCTCGACTAAGCAGCTTCACAAGCCTCATGACTCGGAACAGACGAAAGAAGTTGATACTGATGATCGTCTTGCCAGGCTGCAATAAATCAACTTCATGTCAGACATTCTGACTTTAAATCTATAGTCTGAGACCTACAGCATGTCTTGTAGAAATCACTGACCTTCATAGTACATCTTCTTTGCTGCATTAGAATTGTCACTTGTTTCCTGTGCAGACTTGACGTCTTATCCTCAGGACTTCATGTCTTAATTCTTTTGGTTAAAATACTACACTATTTTCCTTTTCTATCTTCAAAAAGTCTGACAACATTATTTTAGTCGGTTATAGAAGTCTGATCTCCACCCTACAAGATGTATGTAGCTGTTTGTATAATTTTGTTTTATCAAGTTATGCTTTAAATTATTGGAGTAATTATCAAAAATATTTAATTTATTGCACCAGCTGTGAGTAACAAGAGAGTTGACGATACTTGTGAAGCAGAATCTGAGAAGTGTGATTCAGTCGATTGTTTTGGAATTTTGAAATTCATGTGAAACAGTTCAGTGTCAAAGTGTGTGAAACATAAAGAGAACCTGTTTGGACTCACATAAACTTACCAGGATATGTGGAAATCATTTGGGGAACATTTTTCACCCATAATCCATTTATGTTATATTTCAACATCCAAAACATTTTAAATATTCCTCTAGAAATTTCAAATATCTCATTGTTCATTCAGTAAATCCTATTTTCAAATGACAAAGCATGAAATGAATTCAAAACTTTGAAAATAATTGTGTGGTTGATGACAGTATAAGCATTCATTGTCATTCAGGAAAGGAACTGATAACAGAGTGACGTACAGAGCTGGTTTGTATCATAGAGATGTGTGGAATGTTCATGCTTAGGATAAACAAAGCCTGTTGCTTTAGAGAGAGAAGATGCAGAGAGAGTCCGACCAGCATCAGGCCAAGGCATATTGCTGCAGTCCAGGTCTGACTCTTACCTCCAATCAATCAAAGTATCATGTGAATTGCATGCAGATGCTACTTAATGCAAAGTATCACATTTAGAGTAAGATTGAGAGACCTGTAGAAATTGACACTTGACATCAGTGCAAAAAGTGAACCCATCCCTCAGGCTCATTTCCAAAATAAAAATGTGTCTTTGAAATTTAATAATAAATAATATTTCTTTAAAATTACAAACATATCTTTAAAATTACCCTAGTATTTAAAAAAACATGTCTCTCATATACACAATGACTTTAATTTAAGTTAATTCCTCCTGTTAAATCTGTTTCAGTTTTGTGTGTGTTCCGTAATGAGGGATGGGCACAGTTTATGCGTCTGATCGATAAATAGACTCACCACATACCGGCAGACGTCGCCTGTTACATTACACTCACGTTGATACTATTCAATAAAAAGAAAAGAACCAAGAGGTTCTGTAGCTCACCTAAACAGACCATCATTATCCAACAGAAATGTACTGCAGATACAGAGCTGAGGACACGCAGGTCGCGATAACTAGGTAGCCAAACTCAGTCATAACAAATCAGGTTCCATTTGGGAAACAATCAAGAAGCTAAAGTAATTTTGCTGAGAGTGTATCCGAAAAAAAATGTATGGGCAATCAGTTTCTTGACTTTGAAAAAACAGACTGAATATATGTAAAATTGGCCCTATGTGTTTAGTTCAGTTAGAAAAATGACTAAATGTCTCAAGATTAATCTGACGTCAGCACACTTGGCTCAATAGTAATTACTGGGCATCAATAATGCTGATACAATTACAGGACCTTGGCCATCTGATGACTAATCTATTCCTGGCTCCAATCAGAAACATTTATAGACCTCCAATGCAAATTTGAACAATTGCAAGAAGATCCTTATAAAACTGCTCCCAGTCTAGTTTAAAATCAAAGATGGCTACCAAATATAGCACTCCCCTGTCCAGTTACTTGTGCACAACAGTTCCGCACAGTTTGACAAGTACTCTACAAGATGAGGACAGGGCAACAGATGGTGGACAACACGCTATGCCACAGCTCACCTAAACCCTTTGGGCCAGGTGAGGGTGAGCTGATAAACATCCCTATGTTATACTTTTACGAAAAACGAAATCTACGTGCAGTAACATTCAAGTGCAGTGCATTCCACTAAGTCATTCCTCATAAACCATTCACAAAATATAAAACAACTCATTGTACATATTCCCAAGGTTAAACAAAATCAAAATCAAACAATACATTCAGACAAATGATGATAACAGTTTGTATTGTTAAACATTCAGTGACAATAAGACGCAACATAAACAAACATGACATTGTGGTCACTGTCTTGACCAACCTTTTACTAGAGGATTTGATTAATTGGATATATTTTTCCTATTAGTTTCTTCAGATACAGTATTAGTGAAACAATGGTTTAACCTTACATTTGTAACCCAACGATACTTATTTCTAAATTAAACAAACTATTTGTTATTTGTAACATCTAGAGATACATGTTTGTTAAATATCCAAAATAACACACAACTGAAAAAAAAAAGGTTTAGTTAAGAAAAAACAATTCTAGAAAGACTAAATTGTTTTTTAAAATCAAACTATTTCACTTAAACACTGACAAGCACTTAACATCTAAATTTGTGCAGAAACACACTTCTATCAACTCTAAAAACATTCTCTTCCTTGGATTTTCTTTATCAAGGACTCTTCGTGAAATTAACTTTTTTATCACAGAAACTGACAACACTTCAGTTGGAAAAAAAATGTTAGTATGTTAAATGTTTATCACTGCTAGTTATATACAACCATACTCTGTCTTTCCTGAAAACAAAAACTCAAATCGGAAATAAAGATTTAAACACGTTTCTACTAGTAGTTAAATATGTTTTCATAAATCTTCTTCTTGTTGACACTAAGATAATATATAGCCACTCTCTACCAAGCACAAGCCGTCAGAGACTTTCTTCTACCTACAGCTAAGCTGTCTGCTAAATTAGCTCAGGGCCCCGTTCCACAAAATGATCGTAGCTAAGGTGATCGTAACTCCCATACCCTAACATAGACTTACGACAGTCGTAGCGCTACGATCGCTTTGTGAAATGGGGCCCAGCACTGTAACCTAGGGCATATGCAGTCCTGTATCTAAGTCTGTGCTGTGGCAACTCTTCTAGGACTATCCAACACAGGGAACCAGGCCTCAGACACTCTGGACATGTGACAGTACTGCTGGACAAATAACACGAACCTAACTAAATACAGATGAGAACCGATGATCTGGACATGATACAAAAGTACAAAATGCTACAATGTTCACAGTGTACGTCCATGCCCAAATGTATGATGATCTAGATACAGAAACTATAGGGAGAAGTCATTTTACACAGCTTAACTCACAAACCATTGACCACAGTGAACGTAAAACTGCAGAGATTTCAGAGTAGTCCATCATGAGATATCCCAATCTGCATACTAAACCTCAGAGGTGAGACCAGTTTAGAGTTGGCAAAGTCGGAGGTCAAAAGGGGCATGGGTAATTGTCTCAAACTAGAATGGATATGATCTATAAATGAATGAAGATAAATTGTTTTCAAAAGGGCCTTAGCAAAGTACAAATAAAACTGAGGTTGCATTAGTGTGGAAAACAGGAGTGTTGCACCACTGTTTATCGAGTAGGGGGTGATATTTCAAGGATTCTTTTTCGCCAAGGTCTTAAAAACTTGAAGATATCCAGTGTTCCAGTGAGGGTAAGGCTGAAATGTTATTGTTCAAAATTAGAAACAGTTTCTCCATGAAAGTTGGGTTGTCAACAGAGTGTTATTCCTGGCAGAGTTTTGTCTGTGGGGATTGACGTGTCCTTGGGTGGGTAACCTTAGGACAGCCATGTGCAGGAGAATATTTTTGTTGGGTCGGCATTTCTGGAGTGGGTTAATCTGGGCACATATCATGGTATATTGTGTAGGATGAGTTCAAATGTGCAGAATTTGATATGTTTCAAACCAGGCGTTTCTGAAAAGGGTATTGCATTCCATGGATTAGCAGTGAGTAAAAAATATATCCAGATTGAGGGTAGAGGTGGAGATTCCAAAAACATGTGACATTTCCAAGATTTACCATTTAGTAACATAATATTGGTAGTGTTCTGGAGAAGAAGTTTCCAAAATGAGTGCAAATTTTCAAGGCATTGCACTGAATAATACTTATGGGTGATGTTTTTACGATGAGTTCCAAAAGAGGTGTGCTGTTTTCAAGGTCTTCAGTGTTTTGGGAACTGACTTTTGAGGGGATTGAAGGTGAGTAGAATGGGGAATGGTTTCTTTAAGAGAAAGGTTTGGAACGGACGCTGTATATTTCCTGGATGCTGCATTCCAACAGTCTTCCAGGAAGTGCAATACTTCTCCAGGAAGGATTCTGAAGTGTTCCCGTGTTGACCTTGGAGCTAACAAGGGTGATTTCCGACTTGCTTCTTGGTCTACAAAGGGGTGTTCAGGCACTACTATATCATGAGGTCTGAACTGTGGTCTGAACCTGTAGCAGGGATATACCGGGCATGCAAAAGCTGTATGAACCAGGCCCAGAGGTTTCAACCAGGAGACAAGGCAGTACATTAAGCCTTAATACAACAAAAGTACAATTTCCATGAATTCCGTCTTAGACACATATCAAGTTTAAAATAGAGTTTTATGTCAAATGGAACCATATTCATTCCTCAAAAGAGTTGAACATCGATTAATCCTGGTTGTTCACTCGAGTCTCTTCATGCTGGGTTTACTATGGGGAACATGCAGCAAACAGGTAAGTACTGGTTAAAAGAGGAAATGTGACAAACCTCTGCTCTCTGTTGGTTAGTGAAGAGCAGCGAAAGAATAAAATTTGATTTAAAATCATTCCATGTGAAATGAAAGGTTATAGGTGATAAGGAAATCATATATGAAAATAACAAGGAAACAAAAATAGAAGGTCTTGGGATAATCACAGTCAATTATTTCATAAGAAAACCAAACAAAACTTAAATAAAACATTTCAGTTTGTAAAATGAGTGAACAAAAACATAATTGGTTCGGCAACCATGAGGATCCCTTGCAGTCATTCTAAGAAACTAAAAACATGTTGCAATGCAGATAAATCTACTCTATGAATTCCTTTCCGTTTCCATGGCAACATTCCCTAGGCGTAACCAGCAAGATTCCCTATGCAGGCACCACTCAAACTTTGCACTCGGTAATCCACAAATTCTGGATTCATATGGATTTGGTTCAAACATCAATCAACGGAACATTGACTGACAGACTATTCTGTTCACTGTGGAAAAATTCATGTTTAAATTCATAAATCAAATATTATCCTACATCCAATTCCTGGAATATAATCATGAATGAAATGAGGTGATATGATGCTGCTCCAACACCTATTTTATGTTTGATATCTACGTCACATGATTTATATATTTATAAATGATAACTCTAAGATATGAAATATACATGTATGTGCTTTGAATCTACTACAAGTCCCAGTGTGGTAGAAACATAGCCATGATATTTCTAGACGTTACTTGCAATTCATTTATATTAAGTCCGGCAGCCATTGTTAGTACAGTGTACAAAGGATGCATGCCCAGAGACATTTCATGTTTCAACACAAAGAGAAAGTCAGGTTTCAAGTGCAGTTAGGTTTCAGGCACTTCAAATAGGAGTCAAACTACAAATCATTCCAACAGAGGCTTGAGATGACATACAGGCCAATGCTATCACTCGTGTTTGGGAGCAATCTTGGCAAACACTGCCAGTCTTGTTGAACCACCAGCCGGCAGTCATGGAATAAGGTCAGGTGTGGTTGCTATGGTAACAATACACATGTGCCAGGCAGCCAATCAGACACCAGAAAAACAAGGTACTGATATATTTCTCTGTCTTCACTCTTCTGTTCCGCAAGAATTCTTGCTACTGTTATATATAAAATCTCGCCTGAATCTTAAATCAAATAATCAAGAATCAACAAAGCTTTAAAACTCTGAAGTTTGCTGAGGAGTTTTAATCTTTAATCCAAGAGCACTGATGTATGTGGCATCAAATGATGCATGGCTGATAATCTATTTGTCATCCAAAGTCATTCAAGCTTCCAACTTCATTCCAACGTCTTCAGTTTGTTAACAGCTGTAGCCAGTGTCCTCAGTATGAATGCACAGCTAACCAGCTCACGTGGCAGAGATACTAGTGATGTCATTTGATTATGATGTCACATTCACTGACAGTCTGCAAAGCATTGTGATGGAGATTGACCTCACCCAAGCAACATCTCCCCTGGAAACCAGTTCTGGACGATATATTACACTAAAGCTATGACATAAACCCCCACATGATTAAAAATGGGTCAAACATAACCTTAAGTGTCCTCTAAAATATTTGCTGGATTATTGCAAAATGATTATGAAATTTTACAAATTCACTCAGTGCTTGTTTGTTTGTTCGCTGGTCTGGTCACATTTCAGCATTATTCCAGCTATATGTTTGTGGTCCGTAAACAATCGACTGTTGACTAGACAGTGTGATTTATCTTGAACCTGATTGGTTGTCCTTGACCTCTGTTCAACTGCCCCATAACAAACACACCCATCCTGCATCAGCAACTGTGGCGGTGTTCAACCAGACTGCCACAAAACTAATCTCAAGAAATATTGGCAATTCATTCCAACATGGCATCATGCTTAGTCATTCCAAAGTCTGAAGATGGAAATCAATAATCAGAAGGCGTTGTGTAAAAAATCATGCACTCGTCTGCGTTGATCTCACTTTCTCTTTCCTGTACAAAGACATCAAAAGAGATAGTCAACAATGGAGGGGAAGGAATTGAGACTACTTACATTCACTTCAGTGTAAATGATGTCAATAAAGCTACCGAGTACAATGATGAAGTCAAACACATTCCAAGCATCTCCAAAATAATTCTGAAACAGTAGGTTTAAATATATTGCACCACAGATTAGACAATCAATAAATGATATTTCATTCATATGACATATGTTTATCACCAAATGACATTTAAATCATGATATGATATGATAATCACTTATTATGATAATCACCAAATGTCATTTAATTCATTCATGATATGATAATCACAAAAAGATATTTAATTCATTAATGATATGTTAATCACCAAATGAAACTTCAATCATGACACATGGTAATCACAAAATGATAATTTAATCATGACACATGTTAATCACCAAATGATATTTTAATCATGACACATGTTAATCACTAAATGATATTTTAATCATGACATATGTTAATCAAAAAATGATAATTTAATCATGACATATGTTAATCACAAATGATAGTTTAATCATGACATATGTTAATCAAAAAATGATAATTTAATCATGACACATGTTAATCACCAAATAACATTTCAATCATGATATGATAATCACTTAATAACATGTCATTCAGAATATGATAATCACAAATGACATTTCACTCATGAAATGACACATGATAATCATCTGAAAGAATTTCAGCTATGATTTGAACATTTTAAATGACATGTCAATAATGAAATTCACCATATGGCATTTTATCTAAGAGAAATGATTCTTAAATGAATTGAATTGTGATGTTACATGACAAGTCCTTAAATTAGATTACTGAATATGACATGATAATCCTTAAATGACATTTCAATCATGACAAAACATGATAATCACCAAATGCCAGTTCAATCATGATATGATAAATGAAAATCACAGAAATGACTTTTCAATCATATGACATGCTAAATTCTTATGATAAATCATGATATGACATAATAATCACCAATTTCATTTCAATGAATACTCAGCATATGACATTGCCCAAATGACTTATCAATTAAGCATAATGATAATCACTGAATAACATATCAAACATGACTTCAATTATCACCAAATATATTTCATATATATATCATACGATACGGTATCTAGTTAAATGGCATTTTCACCATGATATTACACAATAATCCTCATGACAAGACATGAAAATCACAATGTGACATCGTAATCACCATATGGCACGATGAATAATTGCTGTATGGCATGGTAAATATTCACCATATGGTATGGTAAATAATCACCTTATGGCAATATAAATAATCACAATATGACATGGTAAATAATCACCATATGGTATGGTAAATAATCACCATATGGCATGGTAAATAATCACCATATGGCATGCCACGGATACTGAAATATGTTACCTTGAACCTAAAGGCTGCTAGTTTGAGGAGGAACTCCACTGTGAATACTCCTGTGAAGATCATATTGAGATAGTCCAGGGCCTTCACAAACTCCTGAGACTGCTGGTGGTACTGTGGATAATATACATAGGTTATAACACTACTGGTGGTACATAATATACATAGTTATAACACTAATGACATACATAGGTTATAACACTGCTGTGGCACTGTGGATAATATACATAGGTTATAACACTGCGGGTGGTTATGTGGTCAATATACATAGTTATAACACTGCTGGTGGTACTGTGGATGACATACATAGGTTATAACACTGCTGTGGTACCAAGGATAAGATACATAGGTTATAACACTGCTGGTGGTACTGTGGATAACATCATAGGTTATAACACTGCTGTGGTACTGTGGATAATATACGTAGGTTATAACACTGCGGGTGGTTATGTGGTCAATACACATAGTTATAACACTGCTGGTGGTACTGTGGATGACATACATAGGTTATAACACTGCTGTGGTACTGTGGATAACATACATAGGTTATAACACTGCTGGTGGTACTGTGGATAACATCATAGGTTATAACACTGCTGTGGTGGTACTGTGGAATAACATAGTTATAACACTAGGGATTATAACACTGCTGTGGTACTGTGGATAACATACATAGGTTATAACACTGCTGGTGGTACTGTGGATAATATACATAGGTTATAACACTGCTGGTGGTACTGTGGATAATATACATAGGTTATAACACTGCTGGTGGTACTGTGGATAACATACATAGGTTATAACACTGCTGTGGTACTGTGGATAATATACATAGGTTATAACACTGCTGGTGGTACTGTGGATAATATGCATAGGTTATAACACTGCTGGTGGTACTGTGGATAATATACGTAGGTTATAACACTGCTGGTGGTACTGTGGATAATATGCATAGGTTATAACACTGCTGGTGGTACTGTGGATAACATGCATAGGTTATAACACTGCTGGTGGTACTGTGGATAATATACATAGGTTATAACACTGCTGGTGGTACTGTGGATAACATGCATAGGTTATAACACTGCTGTAGGTATAATACTATACGTGGTGGTACTGTGGATAACTGTGGATACATAGCATAGGTTATAACACTGCTGGTGGTACTGTGGATAATATGCATAGGTTATAACACTGCTGGTGGTACTGTGGATAATATACATAGGTTATAACACTGCTGGTGGTACTGTGGATAATATGCATAGGTTATAACACTGCTGGTGGTACTGTGGATAATATACGTAGGTTATAACACTGCTGGTGGTACTGTGGATAATATGCATAGGTTATAACACTGCTGGTGGTACTGTGGATAATATACAAAGATCATAACACTGATAGTGGTACTGGTAATATGAAGGTAATATTTAAGGGTGCATATACTACAATCAGTCATATACTCACCTTCATGGCTAGTGTGACAGTGTTGATCATAATAAGGGCAAAGATGCCGTACTCAAAGGCCTTCGATGTGACAAACCACCAGATCTTATACTGCCATCTTGCCTTGGGGATGTAGCGTCGCATCGGCTTTGCTTTTAGGGCAAACTCTATACATTTACGCTGTAATGACAAAGTTACATCCAGTTAAGTTCATGAATTCCTCTGGGTGTAACTATTTATTCACAAAAAAGGTATGGGTTTTTTTCATATTCAAATAAAAGAACTGACATGGATTTCGCAACAGTGATATTTTCATTTTTTAGATATACTCTGAAAAATCCAACACATGCTAACTTCAACTCGTCTCAGAGTTGATTCATTAGAACCTGAATTAAACAAAACAACTAGGCGTTTATCTTCACATAATTTGATATTACTTTCGATAAGGCTGATCTAAGTACAAATGTAAACCTGGTTTAGATATTATAAGCAATTCCATTTGACTGCACAGAGGCTTGATAGACTGAATTAATCATTTGTTATCCATTAGAAATGATGAGCAGATACATGGATTTGTTTGAGACTGACCCATCAGTGACCCATTTAAATAATTTTCACTGCTTTTTTGCCTTAGTTATTATATCAACCTTGTCGTCACTGTGACCCTGAATTTGAACAACTGATAAAAACAAATAATTCTATTTGCTGAAAACTGAACCTGATTTTTGTCCAGCTCGCAGTTCTTGTACTCCTGTTCTCCCTCATTCTGGAAGGTGACGATGACAAAACCCACAAAGATGTTGACCATGAAGAACGCAATGACGATGATGAAGATGAAGTAGAAGATGGCCACCATTGGCCGGTTACTATGTATCGGACCACGAGACTCCTCATTGGAATCTATGGACAAGTACAGCAGGCTGGAAAACAGACACAGTATGTAAGCTTTGTTCAGCTCGCCTTTACGTGCATGAAGATATTACAAGATGTGTCATGTCTGTATGATGTGTAACAATGTAGGGAACCCTCTTGACCAAACATAGGGGGTACCAATCCAAACCATATTGCCTCTGTTCACCCAGCAGAAAATGGGTACCTGGTGGTGTTTCATATGACTATTGACCTTCTAGCGCCTCAGGCCTTTATGATGTGTGACAATGTAGGGAACCATCTTTGCCAAATATAGTGGTAAAACTCCATGACACATAGCCTCTGTTCACCCAGAAGAAAATGGGTACCCAGTGGTATAAGTCATATGACTATTGACCTTCTAGCGCCTCACAGGCCTGTATGACGTGTGACAATGTAGGGAACCCTCTTGGCCAAACATAGTGGTAAAACTCCATGACACATAGCCTCTGTTCACTCAGCAGAAAATGGGTACCCGGTGGTATAAGCAATATGCCTATTAACCTTCTAGCGCCTCACAGGCAGCTTGGGTTATCCATGGTAAAAATGTTGTAAATGTTGTAGTGGTCAATTATTATTATTATTATTATTATATCCAACTACCTTCGCACATATGTAGCATCCTCGATTGTGAAAATATGCAGCCTGGAGACATGTCTCCACCTTGAATATCTGTTTGCAGTGATACATAATTACAAGTAACTGCTGATCTGATGCTATAGCAGTATCCCAGTGAACCCACACTCCGGCACAGCGATGACTTAACATAACATCACTGCCACAGGCTAATTTGCATATCACGTGACCGGACTTTTCTCTTGTTTGTAATCAAACGCGCATATTCATAATAAGAAGAGACTGGACTCACGAAAGCTTTTCGGCGGCGCTCTCTTCATAATGTTTTTACATTGTTACATATATATTCTTCCACAACTGCGACAGTAAGGTCTATGACAGTACATATTTAGGTATCAAACTGGCTGCATCGTTTGCTCTCCATCAGCTTCGATGACAGCACGTGGAGCTGTACAACCTATGTAAACAAAGGATCGCTACACAAATCGAAATAGTGTTACATGTTTTTGGATATTTTCTCAGTGAAACTAAACCATTCTATTAAAGATATTTAGTTAGATGTGTAGACTCGTCAAAAATAAAAGAGTAAAAGAAATCTGTACATTATATTGAATGGACATTGCAAGATGTGACGAATCGTCACATTTTTGTGGCCTGTGGCAGAGGTACTATGCTGGCTTGCCACATGGAACTCTGGGTAGGAGAGTGCAGTGAACCCTGTGTTTGGTGTTTAGTGAGAGTATACACTTACTCAGGCCATCCCTCAAACGTGGACACTGTGAACAGTGTCAGTAAGGCTTGGCTAACATCATCAAAGTTGAAGTTGTTTTCCTTCCACACACGTTCCTTCACCTCCGGAGAATTGAAGTCTCCCTCCCTAAAGTCGATATAGAAACCCCTGGAACACAAACAACGTACAACCATGACACACAGGACAATAGGAAATATTGCTCTCTTCAAACAACTCAAATAGAGCTTTAATTTTAACATACCTTGGATCAATGATGATTTGTAATGCCAAAAACAGGCCAATATTCTATTCTTACATTATGCACGGATTAAAATCAAACTTTTTCCCCAAACCTTTAAATCCAAGGTTATAGGACCTGGCAGGACAAGGTGGTGGTGGTGGTGGAATTGGGTTTAACGTCGTGCTTGAGAATATTTCGCTCATATGACAACGTGCATGCGTGTGTATGTGCGGCTGCTTGTACTAGCCCAGACTGAAGCTGGTTTTATAGTGCTAGCCCACTGAGATACCATGCCGCAGTGAAGCATGAATACCCCACTCAGACACATTATACTGACTCCGAGCCGACCAGTCCTTGTTGTACCCATTAATGCCGAGCGCCAGACAGGGACCAACAAGTACCATATTTTAACGTATTTTGGTATGACGCGGTCGGGGATCGAACCCGCGACCTTCCGCTCTCTGGGCGGACGCTCTAACCACTACACCACGGAGGCGGTCGCAGGACAAGGTAATCCAACTACAGGTACACTGCATGCCTCAGTTAAAACACAGGTCATTAAGGGACTGGTATTATTTATTAAACATAGTCCTTCTCCATCCCAGATATCATCACTCAAAAGTTGAAGCAAACTGACTGAAATGATGAACATACTTCTCATTATCACACAGAAAACCTTTTCTAATGTCCTTATGTCAGTCTTGCTGCTGATCTTTGGTCAATCAATACTGTACCCTTTGCTCATTTGTCTCACCAAAATAGCAGGGCAGTAGGGTAGCCTATTGCTCAAAGATTTGTTTAGGCTAAACCCTTGTGTCTTAAGTCACCACATGAGTACAATGTTTCAATACCTGACTAAATAAATACAAACTTAACCGATTAGACTGTTAAAAAATGTCATTGGTGACATTTTATTACCAGTAGAAAGGAACATAAATTATATCCCACACACTTACTGGCAGTCAGCTTTAGTCAGTTTGGACATATCAGAACAGCTGAAGAACTTTCCCTGAAAAACATAAGTTTATCATTACATACACTGTAGTACAAACTCTATCATGTCATTGGAGACAATATAACCTTATTCAACACTAGGTGATGTCGACAAACATGATTTGATATTTGTTTTTCCAATGTCAATATTTTTTACAAAGTAGCCGATGGCAAATGATGACTGTTATCACGACAGAATTGTGTGTCATATAATAAATAATTACTCACGTAAAACAAAACATTCTAATTATGTAAACATATACAAAGTTGACACTGCTGGTGCAACCCATACTGGTAGGTCGAGTGCTGTCTATGTTATGAGTGAGTGAGTGAGTTTAGTTTTACGCCGCACTCAGCAATATTCCAGCTATATGGCGGATCTATGTAATGATGCTCATGATGTCAATCACTGGATTGTCTGGTCCAGACTTGATTATTTACAGGCTGTGATCCTATAGTTAGAATAATGCTGATATGCAGTGTTAAACCAACAAACAAGAGTAGTTAAATGTTCGTCTGTACCTTGAAGAGCTGCACTCCAATGACAGCAAACATGAACTGCAGCAGGAAGGTGACCAGCATGATGTTGTAGATGGTTTTGATGGCCACTATTACACACTGTACTACGTGCTGTAAACAAACATCATGGGTTACCATCAACACAAACAAACCAGTATTAACAAAATATATATAAAATATTAATTTTAAAATTTCAAAAAAAATAAATCAACTGATTCCATCTCCTAATTTTGTTTCCTATTCACATATTTGTCTTGTTTCCCTTGATCTGTAGAGATTACTCCAGTTGAGGAAACTATTTGACAAACTTGAATCTATTAAGTCTAATATGTATTTATACTAAATATCTATGGGTAAAAGATTAATGTCATATTTTGAAATTAATACATTTCATATCAGGATCAAGTTGAGCAAAATAATTCTTAGAATTGTAAATCTGCATAATCAATGTTATTATAAAAAAAAATTGGTTGGAACCGTTAGTAGAAGGAATTTCACCCCCCTATGACGCCTGTGAGAATTGCATAATGTTATTATAGCAATCACTATTCTGTTGATGGGTGGAAGTTGAACCCTGAAGTTACCTTGAGACCCTTGGCTCTGTTGATGGCCCTCAGCGGACGTAACACACGCAACACCCTCAAGATCTTCACTACAGAGATAGCTTGATTGCTGAAACACACAACGTCAACCATCCAGGAACATGGCAGATACAACATGTACAAACTACCTTGCGGTTTTCTCATACACCTACAAGTGAGCTGTGAGGTATTTTCTAACTTAAACTTTGACAAAATTAATGCTATTCATATCATCACCCTTTTCAAATAAATACCAAAATAAAAATTATAGAAAGTTGTTTTCCATCATATCAACAATTAAAGAAACTTTGGCAAATGTTATTGTTACCACTGATAACAGTTTCATGGAAGAGTCTTTTCTTCTTGGTGATGCTTAGTACATTATTATTTTATGCTGGATATTTTATGACTGTATTTTATTCAAAATTGGAAAAAATATTAACCCAAATTTTGCTAATTTGTTTTCTGCCAACACCTGAAAAATGCACAATTATTTTGAGAAATTAATAAAAAGTACTAAATTTCTCAATGAAAGTTGAAATATCATAAAAACGCTTTGATGCCATTTGTCTCTTGCATAATGTCTGTAGCCAAACCTCTGACAGCTGCAACAAAGTCCTTCCTTAATTAAACCATTGAGTATTTACCTGCAAGTTCCTCACATTTCAGTAATTCTGCTTAAATACTGTTTCAATTGACTATTAATTTCTATCTGTACACGTCCTGCCCCATGTAACACGTAACAGGAACTCATGACAGGCATATACATGTCTAATGAAAAGTGAGACGTAGAGCCTTGCTTGTTTATCATTCACTGCAGTAGAGTTCATGTGTGATACCTGCATTTCATTGGTAAATAAAGTAAAGCATTACAGGTATGCAAGGTGAACAGGGCACATTGGGTATTTACAGAGAACAATGTTAAACTGTTGTAGTTTACTAATGTTTCATGCATATTTGTACACAAGCAACTTATAATTAATTGGCAACAGTTATCTATTTGTATTTTACACAAACACAGCTTATCTGGAGCGGTTTTAATCAATACAGTCATGGTTGTATGTTGAACTTTATACACTACATGCTTCTAATTGCCATGCAGATACAGCTAAGTGAACATATCCTCATTTGTTTAATGGTATCCAGTATAATGAGATCTGCAACAAATAGTGGTCATGCAAGCCATTATGAGATGTGAGAACTCAGTGCCACAGTGAAGGAGAGTATTCTGGCAACTCCCGAGTCTCCAGACTTGATTCTAACAATACCTCCAAATATATATTTAAACACACATGCACAGTTATGATAACGTAATGACATTTTCATGTGACCACAGGAGATGTTAACGAAACTTGATGCAAATTAAAAGAACAATTACTGAGACTGAACCAGTATATTTGTAAAATATGGGATACTGACAGAAACAATGCAATATATCCCTTAAAACATGTGATACCAGGAGATGGCACTTAAAATACCTGTAATCTAATCTGAGACAGGTAATGTGTGGTTGATACCATGAGCAAATATCCACAAACTCTCAGCCTGGTCACACTTTGCATGCACTCTCAGACGTGCATTGTGATGAGTCTGGACTTAGAGATTTCAATAGGCAGCCAGTTTTTGTAGGTAGAATTGTATAAATATTTATAATACTCAAAAGAAGTAAAGAACATCCATATCTTCATATCACACTTTGCTATGGTTAATCAATCATGGCAGGTTACCTATATTATCATCGGATCATAGGTTTTCGGACATCATACATTTTCGGACGGCAGTGCTTACCCTGCTACAAGGAGGGGTGTTGTGTAACACAGATATTGTAAATTCTTGAATGATGGCTTGTGTTAGATAAAGTCATCTTTCATAAATAAGTAAGATGTTTTACAACCATTCATGTGATTAGAAAGATAACAACGAATATTTCTTATGAGTCCAAAAACCCTTAACAGGAGGATGATATGAATCAGTTGTCCTTAATTATTTTGAGCATGATATTAACTTAAATAGAAGATGCTATATGCAAGAGATCCACATGCAAAATGACCAACAAATATAGACAATGGATGAAAAGTAGAAGGCAAGCCAGGAAGATTATGGAGTATATTCAGACAGAAGAGGTTGTACATGTTGGACATCTTGGTACTTGTTTGTTATCTGTACAATAACACTCTTTTAGTTCAGCAAGGTGACTGTGTTTCAAATAACTCCAGTTTAAACAGTATTTCAGTCATAACAGTGTGTCAATTCAAAGATTAACAGCACATCAGCTTGATATCGAAGATGTGATGTGATGTGAAATTGGGTTTAACGTCGTACTTGAGAATATCTCGCTCATATGACGACGTGCATGCCTGTGTATGTGTATGTGCAGCTGCTTGTACTAGCCCAGACTGAAGCTGGTTTTATAGTGCTAGCCCACTGAGATACCATGCCGCAGTGAAGCATGAATACCCCACTCAGACACATTATACTGACTCCGAGCCGACCAGTTCTTGTTGTACCCATTAATGCCGAGTGCCAGGCAGGGACCAACAAGTACCATATTTTAACGTCTTTTGGTATGACGCGGTCGGGGATCGAACCCGCGACCTTCCGCTCTCCGGGCAGACGCTCTAACCACTACACCACGAAGGCGGTCTGATATGGAAGAAGACCCCACAGAATGCAGGAACTCGATGTTTACCACTTTGGTGAATCCTACAAACGTTGGTCTGATCAGCGAACTGAGAACACCAGGCCACCAATAATGTAAGACAGCGCATGGCCATATTCATTCAGAAACACTGTGTGAGGTGATCTACAAAATATTCATCATCTAGAAGACACAGAAGAATTGGGTACCAGTCCACTTCTGGGAGTGAAAGGTGGACCATGTGTGACAAGCAAACACACTCTCCACTGGGCTACCCTACTGCCACAGGTAGGCAGACATATGACAAAGTCACACTAGGTCATGCTGAAGAATGACTAGCCTAGTTTACAGAGGTATTATAAACCAAAAATAACCTAACACGTTTAGGATCCTGGAAAAGGAAAAGCAAATCAGGTTCAGCAGAATCTAATCTATAATCAATAGAGCACTAGAACCATATTTATAGAAAAACACCCAGTTTAAGCTGTAATTAACTTCCTGTCTTGTTCCGAACCTTATTATATTTTAAATATAAATATTTTAGACAAAATACATAAAGTTCACACCCTTTAAAGGGACTGATGTCCAATACTTAATATGAAGATAGTGAGCAGGGTACAAACATTACTTGCTGGTTATTAGTGTTTGTCTGTCTGTCTATTTGTTTATTTGCTGTTTAATGCCACCCTCAGTGGTTACCTGCTATTTGATGGTGGGCTGTAAACCATGGGAGTCTGGATCAGACAGCAGCGTGATTAAGATAAGGGCCCATAAGGGCCCTGTTTCACAAAGCTATTGTAGCACTACGACTGTCATACCTTTGTGAAATGGGGCCCTGGTATGTTGACAGGCCTTCAACCAAGGCCTTAGAGTGTGACAACCCAATCCATCAAATCACCTCACACAGGATCTTAGGTATGGTGGCTCTATGAGACTGGATTCTTATTTATGTAATTTGCTATTGAAATCCCTGTTATCTTCTCCTAAATTGGCCCTTTCATTGCCACAATAAAATCTGTTCGTCTCCTTAACAACTGTCAAACATTGTAACATAAAAAAACATACAAAATATATATATACAAGTCAGTTTCCACATGAATGATGACTTACTGACACTCATATGACACTGAGAGACACGGATATATAGTTGTCTGTGTAACAGATATAACACTGATTTGTGTCAACACATGATTCGCTGTGTGAGAATACATTACCTCCAAAACATAGTTCTATGATGGGACAGTCAGGGAAATGTGTTATTATACATATATTTTCCACAGTTAAATGAGTTAAAATCAACAAGCATTAAATTATGACAGTTGACATGTATATCTGATATTTGCTGTAATATGCTCCTAGATGCTAAGAGAATTGAGCAAGGGGTGTTAGTAATCCTGTAAGAATGAGTTAAATGTAAACTAACATTGTTCCAACATTGATGAGTGAGCGAGCAAGTGAGTATGGTTTTACGCCGCTTTTAGAAAAATTCCAGCAATATCACTGCGGGGAACACCAGAAATGGGCTTCACACATTGTACCCATGTGGGGAATTGAACCCGGGTCTTCAGTGTGACGAGCGAACGCTTTAACCACAAGAAACTCCTCAAACATTGATGAAAGTAATACATTATTTACTACAGTTACAAGGCAGTTATGTACCGTACCCCTTCTATTTCTGTAAACAAAACATAATATAAAGAAATATCTGATCTGTCATGAAAATTTTTAGACAACAGTAAGCGGCATGCACGAGTTCTTACAGATTGGTCTAGAAGTTCGGACAAGGGTCCTTTTAGCACCTGTGTATTCAGTTCATGTAAAGCACTTTTTTTTTAAATGCGAAAAGGAATAACTCAGGGATTAATTGAAGAGGACCAAGTCCTCACCTGCTTTCTTGGCAACTGCACCCTCTTGACAAATATTTCTATGAATATAACTAACTTGACTTTACAAACTGCTCCCATATTCGTGAAAATACCATAACATCCTCAGACAGTAATTCCAGTGGACTTATTTTTATTTATATACCTACTGTGTACTTTAGTTATAGTATTGATAGATTCACTCCAGCAAATCTCTCAACAGTTAACTTGGTTAACAATTCACTTCTTGGCCTTCAGTCGTCATCATCATATATATTATCCATGTCAGACAGACACAAACCAGCAACATGTTGCGTCCACAGAATGTCTGATTCCCGTGAGATGGGATTCAAACCACAGACCTTCTGAACCAAGGTCGGACACCTTGTCCATATGACCGAGTCAATATGATCAATTAAATACTAAGTGCAGGTGTACTTACTCCAGTGGGAAAGAAACGAGAGAGACCGCCACGACCAACAGATCGAGAATGTTGAAGAGACTACGGCAGAAGGATTCCTTGTGTAACACCAACCCATAGGTGATGATCTGCAGAAAACAAGTGTCAACACTATCTCAACATGGTCACAAGCCTTTACTTAACTCTTCAGTAGTCCTGTCTCTTCAGTAGTGGTCTTCAGACAGGACTCTTTCTTTATTAAAACTCCATACTTCTTTAAGTTAATCAGTATGTATTATCACCAGTCTCACCAATATTCCAGTAATATCACTACATGGTGGGGGGAGGGTAATAGGCTTCACACACAGTACCCTGAATGGGAATTGAGCCCAAGTCTTAGTCCTGACGAGCAAACACTTTAACCATGAGGCTAACCTACATATCCTCATAATTCATAGAAGATATACCATTATTCCTTTATGAGTAAGTGAGTGAGCTGAGGTTTAAGCTGCTTTTAGAAATAATTCTGTCATATTACAGGGCTCGATTTAGTGCTTTGTTACTTGAACTGGTGCAACCCCATATTACAAAATGCAACCTAGTTATTAGTCTAACTTGCACCAGGTGCAAGTCAATTTTTGAGGGGGTAAACTTCTGAATAAAACATCTAAATAATTCAATAGCATATTTCTGATATTACATATTGCAATAAAAACAGTGCAACTGGAATTTGACTGGTGCAACTAGTTTTTTATCTTAGGTTACACCTGGTGCAAGTGGGTTAACATCTCTCAAATCAGGCCCTGTATTACGATGGAAGTACTTGGATCGTATTCAAACAGGATTCCCAGGAGGAAATGAACCCATCTCTAGGGTGATGATGAACGGTATAACAACCAAGCTAGACATGATCTCAAGGATGTTTATGACAACCATGCTTACCTTGATTATAATCTCTATCGTGAAGACACTTGTAAAGAAGTAGTCAAAGTAGTTCAGGATCTGAAAGGTGATCACACCAACATCAGTATTGGTACTGCAATATGAACAAACAATAGAACCCTGTTGTCCCAAACCTTTCCCAGGCTGCATGATCAAAAACCACATTTCAGTTGTCATTTTCCCTCTCTTGTAAGTGGGCTAGCACTATAAACCCAGCTTAAGTCTTGGTCAGTACAAGCAGCCGCATATACACATACACACGCATGCGCATCGTCATATGAGCGAAGTATTCTCAAGCACGACGTTAAACCCAATTTCACCTCACCTCACCTCTCGTAACTGACACTCACATAAAAGGTGGGTGGTCATTCTGACATGACATGTCATGGGATAGTCTAGTGGTGCTCCGATGATCGAAAATAATTGAAAATCGATCGAAAGAAGGATTAAAAATAATTATCGATTGCAAAAAACATATTTTCGATTAATCAGAATTTTGTGGTTTTGGTATAACACACTTGAATGAAGTAAACTAACCATTAAATCTCATGAATATTCACGAACAAACATGCGCTCAACAGTGTAAAGCTTTGCGCATTGTATTCATAGTTTCGTATTCATCACTATGGAAAATATTACTGTAACCTGTCTATGAATAAATTTTACATCTATTGTGAACATAATAAGATATCCTGATAAATAGTTGTTGTATAAATAAACAGAATAATTACATGTATGTGAAAATCGATCATAGGAATTTCTCATTTATTATTATTTCTGATTGGACAATCAGACCAAATAATTTCATCTAGTTCTTACAAGTACACAAACATGGAAAATTAGGTACTAAAATCACAGAAATTAAACACACACTTCAGTCAGAACAAAACAGCTGTGTAATGGCTGACAACTAAGAAGGGAGACAACTCACAATGTTCCTAGGAGACTTTGACCGAAGGGGATCCTCAGCTGCCAACATGGCACTACTGATGAGGATGCAGGCCAGGACGATGTTGCCAAAGTAAGAGTGGTTGCAGGTCTTGTGACATAACAGTCGGAATCTGACAACAACAAAAGTAACATTTTACTCCAATTATCACTTAAACTCCTGTTTTGCAATTTTACAAGGATTTTCATTGCATCGGAAATTACAGGTTTAAACTACAGTTCACACCAAGACACAATAATCTGAGACTGAGTTTGAATCCAACTGGACTCAACCACGATCCTAGGTTTGTCAGTTATAACCCACATCAATTTGGTGAAAACAGCTCCTATACTGTTCACATATCACACACACTAACATAATACTGTTTCGAGTGTTGTTTGACAATGTAATAACATTATGTATATGTAAGTGTAGACTCCTTATCACCATCAGAGTGGGTGATAACCTAATTATACCACATAGCCTACAAACATGATGAACTTTACATCACAATGCAAAACCCGGGAACATACACTCTTTTTTTCATATAAACTCAATAATTCAACCATGGCATGTTAACATATAGGTAGTTACAAAAACACCCGGCAGTAAAAAAAAAGAAATTTCAACAAATATTTCAATGCTGGAGAAGTTTTGATTTCAGTGCCGGCTTACCTGTTTGTTGGCGAGAATATGAAGAGTGAGCTGGCTTGTGGGATGGGCTTGGCCTTGCTGGAGATGTGGAGTTCAGACATGCGACGTGGACGCGCAGTCGAGACAGTCTGTGTCTCGTCCTCATCCTCATCTTCTTCATCATCCTCCTCATCATCCTCCGTCCCTTCATCCTTGTCGTCCTCCTCTTCTGGAAACACAAGCATCATCAATGCAGGGGCAGGTCTTGTACTAACACACTTTCATGAAGCAATTCATCTTGTGATGCCCTCCTCTAAGGACTGACCAAAGTGGGGCAAGGGGGCAGGGAATGTTGTCACAAAGCTAAATGTTTTGGGTCACAACTTCAAGACATTGAGAAAATGTGCAATAAAACAATATTTTTACGTTAAGTGAAAAATGCCTAATTTAGGCATAAAACATGCAAATGTGCAACCTCATATTGAAAAAGTAGCCAAATATTTATATCTACATTCACCAAATTCATGTCAAAGTGTTCATTTCAAATATTTGCCTTGTCTAATTTTTTAATTGATGGCCGAATTATCATATTTCCATTTTTTTCCGTTTGTTGTATTTTTCATGCTACAGTTTTTGAAGAATGACCCAGATCCAGTTAATGAGAAAGTCACTTGACAATCAGCTATAGGAAACACTACAGTCTTTGTTTAGCGACACAATTCCAGTCAATCTATTCAGTGCTTCAGTGACGGATACCTTGTATAGGAACTTGGTGGCTGTTTCTGTATTCACCCGGCTCATCACGTTCAGGAGTCAAGTCAATATGCACATGATGATCACCAGAGCTGTCTCTCCGGCTGAAAGACACACATCACTTTCATCAGAATTAATACTCAGGACATTTCCTGAAGATGTATATGTTTGGTTGTTTGTTAGTTATTTAACGCCACATTCAGCAATATTCTAGCTGTATGGCAAGGTCTATAATAATTTAGTCTAGACCATTCTGGTAGGCCTTAGACCACATGCGCATGTTAATGCTGATAAAGCCACACACTTCAACTTTCCATCCACTAAATCCTTACTAGGCATATACAAAATTGAAACATTTCAGGTTATTTGAATAAAAATAACCCTGGTTTAGTTTTGTTCAACGTCACACTCAGCCAGACTGCTGCCATATAGCTGGAATATTGCTAAGTGTGGCGTAAAACAGAACTCACTCACTCAGCCATATTCCAGCCATATAGCATGGACAGTAAATATTTTAATCTGGACCAGATAATCCAGTGACCAACAGCATGAGCATCGATCTACGCAACTGGGATACGATGATGTGTGTCAACCAAGTCAGCGAGCCTGACCACGAAATCCTGTTAGTCACCTCTTACAACAAGCATGTGTAACTGAAGACCTATTCTAACTCTGCATGAAAGAGAGCATGGCACTCTTAATGGTTCCATATCAATTTCCGGAGAGAGATCATGTCAGGATCAAAGGGGTCTGACTTTAGACCAGTCAAAGTTTCAGGTCTGCATTACTGTTGATATATATCTGTTTGCCATTACCTCCGGGAGCTCGGCTGTCGGCTGAGATTTACAGATGTCTTGTCTTCGTCGTTTTCATTGTTATCATTTCCATTGACATCAACACCTTCGTCTTCTTCGATGTTACCCTGGGTAAGAAAATTAACACTTAAACTGAAGAGAAATCTAACTCAAGTCGAGAATGACTATCACTCCTGAAATTAAGCATTGTTGTGGAAATCTATCTGGATTTTTATTTGTTCCTGTTGTAGATATTTATTAATGAGATAACTATATTTTGGGGACTAAATGTTCATCAAGGTCATACTCTCTGTACCTCTTTTTCCGGACTTTCGCTTTTCGATCTTCGGATGGATCGTGTTCGTTCCTTCTCCTCATCCTTCTGCTGCTCAATCTCAGTGAGACTCTGAGCATCAGCCAAGTTGTCAACAGCAATGGCCAAGAAGACATTCAACAAGATATCTGAGAGGATGTGTCAAGGGAAATAGGGCTTGACTAAATACAAAATGAGAAATACACCAATAAACACTTCAAGAAAATGACTAATTTCAGCAATATGTATTTCTAATATGTCCTCAGGATAGGATCTCCAACGACAATGACAGCAGTGTCATAATTGTTTTTGTTTGCGATGATAACATTTTTTATTGCTTTATGGACCTGCCAATATGCAAATGAAAATAAAATGCAAACGACTTCTCTTATATTATTAAACTCATCAGAGCTAAAGGTATATATAAAAATAAGAATGAAACAATATGAGATGCACGCCTTTAGAGTCCCTATAAAGCACATGTGTAATCTAAATGAATTCCATAAAGTAGTTTTTGAGGAGAAGTGGATAACGTACACCCCCTGTTGGATGGAACGAACAGGCTGAATAGAACAAAATTCAACTAAGTTCAAATGTCTCTAAACTTACAAAAAAAACAATAAAATACAAAAACAAAATATGAGATGCACATCATTAGAGTCCCAAGAAAGCCCATGTATAAGTTCATTGAATTCCACAGAGCGTCTTTTGTGGAGAAGTGGATAGAGTACATTCCCTGTTTCGTACGGACGGACACGGAGGGTAACCCTATATGCCCCCAGCCATATATGGCGGGGCATAAAAATATAATAACAAGGAATATCCCTCAAAGTAGCATTGAAAAGCGGATTCATTACAAAATATAAAAGTACATAGCAAAGAGTTTACCACAAGTTTTGACACCACTACGTCTCATGCATGCTGTCCTGATTGTTTTCTTTTCTGACAGCTAAAGTACAATGGCACAGGATACACTGCTGGGGCGTACTGACTGCACACAGATGAAGAGCACAACAAAGTATATACAGACGATGACGCCAAGTTTCTTGACGCCACCGTACGCCTTGATCCCATCGTACATCACCATGTTCCAGTCCTCACCGGTCAGGATCTGAAGCACGGAGATCACAGTCACTCAACTACCATCAAACACTCAGATCCAATTCGATAAATGTCGGACATGTAGAGGGATTCATTATACAAACAGGAAGAAAGTAAATACACACATGTTGTCAAATGTAACACATTATATTTAAGATTTCACTTTCTCAGTAAAGTATACATTTTATTACTTTGGGGGATTGGTATGACATGGCTGGGGGCTGAACATCAACCTTCCACTAATGGAAGCAATCCTGTATTTAGAGATGTGTTAACAAAATGGTCATACCTGTGTTAACAAAGTGGCCATATCCATGTTAACGGAGTGGTCATACCCATGTTAACAAAGTGGTCATACCTGTGCTAACAAAGTGGTCATACCTGTGCTAACGAAAATGGTCATACCTGCACTAACAAAGTGGTCATACCTGGAACACTGATAACAAGGACTGCCAGAAGGTATCAAAGTTGCTCCTAGGCGTCTCCTCGTCAAAGTTGAACCGGCCACCAAACAGTTGCATCCCAAGTAAGGCGAAGATAACAATGAAGAGAAACAACAGCAACAACAAACTGGCAATGGATCGCATACTGTTCAACAGTGACGCCACAAGGTTCCGCAGTGACTGACCAGTACCTGGAATAACAACATACAATGTGGCATTCTGATTCTAATGCTTCAACTCCAATGTCTAAAGGAATTCGGTAAAACCTCATTTGATTTATCAGGCTCATATTCAACTACAAATCTGTAGAAAATGTTAGTAAAATGTCCAGTTTGAATCAAATAATTCTGATTTCACAGAAATTTACGAAAATGTAAACAAACAAAAATACAATATTGAACAAAAGAATAATTTTTCCTGAATTTGACTGCCAAATTTTGAATCCAAGATAAATCCCTATTCATGTTTTGTGTATATGGGTGACTTCATAACCTTAAATGCCAAGATAAAAATGAAAAGTCAGTCTTATGAAACAATATATTTACCACATGTTATCTTTTCATAAGTCATACTTGATTTTACTCACATCTCATAAAGACTGTACTTTATCTTATATTTATTGTATATTACATATATATCATTCTTTACTTCTATAATATTCTTGTTATATTACTAAAGCTGCAATGCCTGCTGACTGACTGACTGATTGATTGTACTCACCTGGTAGCCTTGAAAACTCTTAGTAAACGAGCACACCTGAGCACAGACACACCCAGAGGTGGCATTACGCCCGTGTATATAAGGATCACTTCCAGTATACTGAACAACACAACAAAACTGTCAAAACGGTTAAACAGGGACACGAAGTACCCTTGGAAGCCAAGACTGTACATTTTGAGAAGCATCTCAAAGGTAAACAATACCACAAAAAACATATTGGCAATGGCTGAAACAGAAACAAAAACATTGTTTAGCATGCATGTTGATCAAACACTTGACATAATAATAAATTTTTTTCTAAAAATTATCAATATCATTTAAAATGGTGTTTCTTATTTGCAATTTCATTGAGGAAATATATACAACCCAGATTTGGACAGGGATACCAAAACATTTCATCTGATTACAAAACTTAAAGCAGTCACTTTAAGAGAATGCTTACATAAATTACTGATCACATTGTAATAAGGTTGAAAAATGGTAGGTCAAAGGAAGCACATATTGCTATTTGTCTGGCCAAGTGATTTGTCACATTCAATTCCTCCTTGGCAACTTTGAAAATATCCCAATCAAATCTTTGAGTAGCATACATAATTATTATGTTTCTAATATACAGTAAAGATATCTTCAAAAATTATCATAATAATTTTTTACAAATTTATTTCTGTTAATCAAACAAATAAAATATCATGACTACTCATCAAAACAAACTATTGTTCCTTACTTAAAAATATTATTAATAAATAAGGCCAGACCAATTTTATTTCTTGTTTTACGGATTTTTGTCCTTAGAAAACCTAAAGGCAGGAGGGTAAAAAAAAAAAATAAAATCACCAGTCAAAGTAATATCCCTTTTAAAACTCAAAGTATTTTACTTTTGGCAATTTATGAAGTGTATATGGGGCAAAAACAATCTAAAAAAAAAATCTTTGTAAGTTTACATTTTGGATTTTAGGATTTTATTTTTTGAGCAGGGAAAATTAATTTTATTTTTTTTCTTATTCTTGAAAAAATATGACAGGCAGATCAGTATAACAAGAAATAAAATTGGTCTGGCCTAAACTGAGATTATCTTTGGCTGAAGGATAAAAGAAATGTTTCTCAGGCCAAGGGGCATCAATTTTAAACCTGTGTGTTTGTCATATTGATGCCAATGAAAAATTTAAATTTGCTACGACACATGAAGCCGACTCTGTAATTTATCCATGACAGCTGACATTGACAGAGCTAAGTTTATTGCTGTGTTTCTAGTTATATTCTACACTTTCCTGCTCTCAATAAACAATTCTAAAAGTCCAACATCCTTCCTCATTTTTGAAAAAATTGGCTGAGAAATATTTTTTTTAAGCAGCCTAAAACAGAATTTAAGTGGCAATTGTTAAGCCTCACCTTGAAAATTGTCCAACCATGGTGGTTGTTGGTAGTGTTCTGAAGTAAGCACACATGTATTCAAAAACACAAGAACAATAACTATCCAATAGAATGCTTGAGATTTCACTATTCTTCGGCATCCTCTTCGACATCTTCTATTAAACTTTTGAAAATGTAACCTGGAACAAAAATAAACATTATTCCACTAAGTATCCCAGCATCAGCATCCAACACTATACACAGAGCACATATAGATGATGTTCAAGCTTACTACGTGAGGGTATTGATTTTTGTGGTTGTAGCAGTGATTTTCCTGAATTATCTCCCTTTGCATAAAGATGTCTGCCTCTATATCTCTATAGTTCAACATACCTACAGCAGACAGACATTGAAATCACTTAGTAGAGCCTGATTTTTCTTCTTCACATATTTGCATGTGTGATGAAAAAAGTTGTCAAAGGAAATATTTATTTGTTCTCACTTTTTTGTTTGAAACCAGGAGTGTTGTATTTCCCCGCTCCCCATTTCTTCTGTTTTCTCTACAGCGTCTGTCTCCGCAACAGCTTTACCTGAAACAAACATCAAAGTAAGTGATACCTCAGTCTTCAGATTGGTTCATACTCATTGGCATTAACTTTCCTCAGTTTTAAAGAAATGATAATTGAACCATATCGCATAAAGCAGTGGATCTAAATACTGATTTATTGTTATGAAATGTAACATCAAAGTCAGCCTAACATTAGTGTTGATAAAATTGCTTTGACTTCATTCTGATCCTTAAGCAGTTGCTGTCTGATCCAGGGTCCGGATCCACAAAGCAATCGTAACGTTACGACCTGTCGTAACTATAGTTTACCATTTTCTTACGGATGTCGAAGCGCTACAAATGCTTTGTGGATTGGAACCCAGCAGTCATTCTTGAAGGACAAAAAGGTCCCTGTATGACAGTCAGTGCTGTCCTCTGGAGACACAAGTATGGTTTGGGTAGGCAAGTGCAAATGGATGGAAAGTTTGCCTTTTAAGACCACACTGTTTGCATCGATCCCTTCTGCCTCTCAATTTCCATGACTGTCTGCAGTGAGTGAGTGAGTTGGTGATTTTTACACTATTTCATTTACATCACAGTGTTGGAGGAAAGCAGCTAAGCCCAAAGTGACACAGGTTTCAGACCTTTAGCCTTTTGACAAAACCAGCACAGATTTGGTGCTGACGAACCTGGCAACATAATCAGGGCAAACTGCGGTTCAACATGGTTGTAGTCAGTACTTACTGTGTCTGGGGGTATTCCCATCCTCTACTTCATCTTCATTTTCTGGATCTATGTCCTCTGTAAAATATATCACACACACACATTGAAACATTGATTCATAAACATATAGCAGTTATCTATAGGGAGTTGGGGATATGTTGGCAGAATGTCTTTGTCTGGGCTATAATGGGCTTCCACGTAATATCTCCGCAATAAAGTGCCAAAGAAAAATTGTTTTCAATACTTTTCAACTGAGTTCATATACTGCAATGTAAGTTTTCAAATTGAAATTTTGATGTAACATCGCAGAATAATCAAATACTGAATACGTAAAATCCATGCCTCAACCCTTCAAAATATTTCTGACATCTGGCATGTCCAACCGGTCAAGGAAATCCAGACGTCTTACATTATATTGACTGATGTCTTCTGTATTCAGCAACATTACAGCTGATGAGGTCAGTCTTTAAGCAATCAAGGTTTGGACCAGGTAACCCAGTGACTGATGTCATGAGTATCTACATCTGGCTACCATAACAGACAATCAACAAAGCACCCAGCCTGACCACCCAATTCATTAAGTCAACACTTCGACCAGCACAGGAAGCTACAGTCATCCCGGAAACTACATAATGCCTCACCTGCTTGTGTTATCCAGTCTAAATACCCCCTAAGATCTTCTTCTAATTGCTGTTTTTCTCTAAGTTTTTGAAAATCACCCCGAGCTTTTGCTTTTTCTCTCTCTTTGGAAAACTCTCTGGAAAAGAAAGGACATCAATGGATTGTATTGGATTAGCTTAAATTGAACAAATTAGCTAAAATTAACACTTCAACCATATTACAAAGAGTTAACATTAAAAACACATTTTGAAAAGCTTTAAACCTGTACAATTATAATCCTAATTTCCTTTAATTCTAAGCATATTAATTAGTTCATGCCTTACAGTCATCAAACATTGAAGACAGACGAAGGTGTCTGTATCCCACCTGCATATGAGGCAGTCAAAAGTCTAAAATACCAACAAAGGCAGACACATAATATAAGTGTCTGAAGGCATGAACCTATAGTTACATTTTTGTGCCATAACAGCAACACAATATAGAAACATACATGCCATATTTCACCTTCTTCAGTCTGGCCATTTTAGAGATGTTTACAGAGCCAGAAGACATTTTCAGGGAATTTACAAGCATGTTCAAAACATTAAGGTCAAAGTTCAACCAAATCTTACCACATGTCATGAAAAACTAAACATGCATTCTGAGTCTGTCTACTTACGGATATTATAACTAGGGCCGTAACAATGTATCGAACTATCGACTGATTGCAATTCTTGAGTCTCTGATAACAATTAATTGATGGTTGAAATGAAAACCTATCGATGCATCAATAGCATCTGTGACTATCGATAGTTTAGCAATTGATTTCTGTTGATAAATGCGCAGCACAAAATGCAGGAAGTACCAGATTCGTTCATTTAGAGTTATCTGCCCCTGTTACCTCTTAAACAAACATGACCAGTTACATGATCTGGGGTTCGAGTTTCTAGTCAGTTATTAAAAGAGACTGAAACTACTTTAACTTGTTTTTATTTCATATAAACTATACATTCATTTTGGGAAATGACTTCAAATGAGACAATTCAGGGAGAAAAAACTATTGCAATAGTGTTGCAATAGTTGGTCGCAATAGACTATCGCTATTGCATAGTTGTTTCCTCCTCAATAGTCACCCCTAATTAAATTCATTAATATTATTTCAGTAAGGGACTCATTTAAAAGTAGCTGTCGTTTCTCCCATATTGAAACTCAGACTCAGACCTCTTATACAGGTGTTGTAATAAGTGGGAACAAGTATGTGAAATTTCGGCTTCAATCAGCTGAGGAAAAACTTGGTTATAGATCCCGCTGACAATGAGATCCCATTGAAAATGTAAATGTCGGTCCCAACAGCAACTTACCCGCTCAACACACCAAGAACAAGGTTGAGGACAAAAAAGGAGCCGATGATAATTAAGCTGATAAAATAGATCCACGGCCACTCACTTCCCACTGCATCATTCACCTGAAACACACATCACAGGTACCGTAAATACCCAGAGTAAAGCCCTTACATATTATAGATCATGCTCTTAAAAATCAGATTGCTTGTTTGGTTCCTTAATCCCTATGATTAACATGGAAAAATGGATGTCAAGTTATCAAGTTTTGTGCCCCTTGAGCAGGATATTTAGCCTGGAAAGGCGCTATACAAATGCTCTATAATTATTATTATTATTATTATATTATCCTCCTCTGCCCATGTTAAAAAATAGTGGCAGGACATTTAGTGATGACTTATGATTGTGACATGGTTGTAACCGATGACATCATAATTGTCTCCAAAGATTCCATAGGCGGATCCAGAGGGGGGTGCAGGGGTGTGCACCCCCCCTTTTGTGGTGAAAGTTTGTTAAATGACCATTGAAACACTGGTGGAAATGAAGTGTGCACCCCTCCTTTTCTCAATAGTGTGCACCCCCCTTTCTCAAAAAGCTGTATCCGCCCCTGGATTGTAATGCAATTTCAAATAAAAATCACTAGTCAAAATAATTTTCCATTCAAATACTAAAAGTATTTTATTTTTGGCAGTTTATGAAGTTTATATGGGGGCAAAAAGCAATCCAACATTTTGTTGTAAGTTTACATTTTTGGCCCAAAAAAACATGAGGAGCCTACAAACAGTATTTTAATATCAAAGGTTAATAGCCTGAAATTTATCCCCAAGAAAATCATGCCAGCCAGAGAAAGACATTATGGTTACAATACCACTGAAATACTCACATCATACAAAACATCTGTCCATCCTTCATTGGTTATACACTGGAACACTGTAAGCATAGCTAAACCAAAGTTATCAAAGTTCGTAATGCCATCATTTGGCCCTATCCACGAATCCTTCCTACATTCGGATCCATTGGCTACGGTTTTACAATCGAATCCCCTTCCACATGGATGAGGATCTTCTAAAGCTTCTCTTACTGAAAAACAAGAAAAAGAAGAAGTATAATCAATTTGTTTTTCACATTTTACAAATTTTACACCGATAAAAAGTAGAAAGTGATATCCATCGTTACAGGATGCTACTAAAACTTCATTGTTCATGTGTGGGCAACTCTGTGACCATTATTGATTGCAATCAGTGGTTACTGCTATCCTGTCAGAATGCTTGTCTTAAACAGTATTTCAGACATATGATGTCTGTCAATCACATTGATATGGGCAGAAAAGCTGCAAAACAATTTACACTTTGGTGAGTGAGTGATGAGTTTAGTTTATGCTGCACTCAGCTATATTCCAGCTATATGGTGGCGGTCTGTAAATAATCAAGTTTGGACCTGACAATCCAGTGATCAACATCATGAGCATCGATCTATGCAATTGGGAATTGATGACATGTCGCAACCAAGTCAGCGAGCCTGACCACCCGATCCCGTTAGTCGCCTATTACGACAAGCATGGGTTACTGAAGACCAATCTAACCCGGATCTTCACGGGTTTACACTTTGGTGAAACTCCCAGGTATGGTGGCGACCAACAAACCATCATAATGATGGAATCAAACTGACAATCAGCAGATCCTGGGACCACTTCAACAGAGCCATATTCACACTAAATCACTCATAACTTCCATACTTTAACATAAGGGCGGTGAGGTAGCCTAGTGGTTAAAGCGTTGGCTCATCACGCCGAAGGCCCGGGTTCGATTCCCCACATGGGTACAATATTTAAAGCCCATTTCTGGCTTCCGTCGCCGTGATATTGCTGGAATATTGCTAAAAGTGGCGTTAAACCATACTCACTCACTACTTTAACATAAACTCGTTACGATTGTAGCACTAACATAGATTGTCAAGGCCCAAAGGGTAACAGACTGAAGTAAGATAATTAAGTTGAAAAAATGAGTGAACAAAATCATACTTACATGGATTTGTATAAAAACAGGTATCATGTAACTTCCCTGAGAAGAGTTCTAGTCCAATGATAGCGTAAATGATGATTACAAAGATAACTAACAGAGCTATGTGTAACAAAGGCACCATTGCTCGGAGGATAGAATTCAACACTACTTGTAAACCTGAAAACAAAAGAAAACCCTTGTTAACAATAAATACATTCAAATATTTAACAACATCATTATTTCAGTTGTTCATTAATTCATCCTCAACAATTGAAAGTCATGAGGAATTTGGATGTGTCATCATTTGTCCTGAACCAGTTGATTCTGTATGTGTTGAAATCACGGCTCATGGGCTCACTTGGGAGTCCCAAGTATCCAAATAAAGAAACTATTCCCCTGACTGAGTCAAACATAACATGACTTAAGATTGTGTTAGTTAATTTATTATTATTATCAATTAAACGTAGTATGAAACTAAGCCAATATTTAACCCTTTTTTTTTTAACAGTTTCTGACTTTTTGGGCAACATCTGCATGAGTTTGACACCACAGCCTGATCTGACTTGTAAAGGTTGTTTCACCTTAGCTTGGGTGTCATCATTATAGTAACATGCATGCGAAATTTCAGCTTCTTTTGTCAAGTGATCTCTAAGAACACAATGTATACAGTTTGAGAAAATGCATGGGAGAATTTTGTAGCCAAATGTCAAGGTCAAACAAAGGTTTTAATATGGATGCCACGGTGGCCATATTGAAACTCAACCCTCTAGAACAAACTGGGGTGTCTCATTGGTCAGCATCATTGGGGTGTTACGACCTTTTTTGGTCAAGTGTTTTCTGAGGACATGTTTACTTCACACAACCGACACAAGCTCAGTTGACTTACAGTCAGGTGAACTAAAGATGAACACATATCATGCTATACGTACTTGGAGCTCTGGATACAAGCCGCACGGCCTCAAAACCCTGAAGGCTCGTAGAGCTTTCACATCAAACCCTTTGCTATTTATCTCGGAAAGGATCTGACTTATAATACTGAAACAAAAGAAAAACAATAATGAATATTAGTGAAAATTAAAAAATTAAGCCATCAAGTTCAGTAGCTCATCTGATATGCTCATACATCTACCATTATCAAAATGGTGATGTGATTATTTGGACATATCGAAATACATCCATCCATAAGTCTTATGTCCGTGTTTCCATAAAATAACATCATATTGTGACCTGGTGTTCTGAGGGTAAGAGGCATAGTAATTTAATTGTGTGGACAGTGTGGTGCCCTTGAGTTAAAGGTTTGCCAAGTTTCAAGAAACACTGTGAGCAACAGCTATGACATATTTATTGGCATGATTGGGCCAAATGAAAACATTATAAGCAACAACAACAATTTTTTATTCATCAAACTACAGTAAGTTCTGTGGCCTGTACGCATTTATTTTCCCCGATATCAAACAATGTATTTGATGTGTTCTATGTAAATGTCAGATTTTGTATCTACATTACAAGAAGCACATTTCTCACTAAAACATTAATAGCAACATTTGTACAATCTTAAGCTCCAAATATGACCTACATTTCTAACACAAGGATAATGACAGTAAAATCTGTTCGCTAAAGAATTCAGCTTTCCAATCCCCAAGGCTGCCTGTTAATTTGATATGAAGAGATCGGAGTTGTCCTGAATTATTCAGCCTATGAGTTCAGAGCTTCACATAACAGAAAGGTTTGACTTAGACAATTACACTGTACGGCGATGCCCCATTTATCATTCAATAACCACTGTCATGTGACCAGAGCCATCCATTGGCTTGGGTGGAAACAGTTCTGAGAAATGGGACTGTGACCAATCCTCCAATGCTGGACTTCTTCTACATTATATATTATTCATTAATTCATGGAAAATGATCATATTCAAATGAGCTTTGTTCTGACCTGTACTAAATTCAGAGGAGAATCCCTGATTTCATTTCCCAAAGTGAACCTTTTCACATTTGTGTGGATTTTAGATTAGCCTGATCAAAATATATTGTCTTAAACTCTGTGTAGGTCAATATATATTTTTTTATCAGGCACACAGTGATTTGGGTTGATTGTATCAATGATCTAAAGAAATCATTCTGTTTGGAAGTGAAGAATGAATATCTATTTTTCTGTTGAAGGTTCAAGGTTTCTTCATAACATTGTCTTGAAATGGTTGCAGACCCCATACAATGTATCTGATCATACGATTTACGAGAGGATGTCTGATGATTCATAATCTGTTGTGCAGAGTTGCTTCCCCTTTTGGCATACCCGAAACCTATGAATCAAATGGCAGGTTCATCCTGAATTAACTGTCTAGATTTGTCAGAACTATGCTCATGCTTGTGGGTGTCACTAAAGTGGTTAACATCTAAGGCGTGCATCACGTTCTAACTTCCGACTGAAATACCATTCAGTTTGGCGTTAATCCAACCCCTCCCACTCTTGAAGTTCAGGACATTTTCATCAAAGAAGGCTGAAAGAACTTGTTGTTCAGACAAATGACAACTGATCATGTTGGGATAAAACAAAATTCACCAAGAAAACAAATGTTAAGTTATATTTTGTTTGATTAATGGAGCACAGTCTGTTAACACTGTTTCTTGTCTGGCCTGTCTGTGGTAGATCAGAACAGTTCTAAATTTAGTTTAAAACTCACTGGACTGCAAAATAAATTTAAATTTCTCAACTTCACAAATCTCATACTGCCTTGCTATTCTGCTACAAACACAAACTTATGTGATGAATATACACGCTGAATACGTAAACAAACATATCTACATAAGTAATTAAAAGTTTAAAGTTCTAATTACATCATGGAGATTCTAGGTCTTCACAACAACTGAAATGTGGAAGAAAGTTGTGAATTGTCAAGTCTGTTATGTTCAGTAATTTATCGGAGATAGGCTGACTGGCAGCCAAGTCCCTCCAGGAGGGTGTATCAGTGCAAGGCTGCAGACAAGAAGCCCGATAAACTTATGTAAACCTACGCCCACGTCAATGTTTTACCACATGAGACTAGAAAAAATACACACACTATCTCCTGGAAACACATACAGCATATTACCTCTCTGACTTCAATGTCTGTATTATACATCTAAGCTTTCCTTTGACTGATGTCTTTACTATTGAATTACATTCTCAGAACTTACAATTACATGAATGACATGGATTACATCCTCAGAACTGACGTACAGACTGCTACTGGAACTGATAAGCAATGACAGTAATTCTTCAGTTTTTACAATGTTAGCCTTTAGTGTATCATTTCTGAAACTCATTAACAGTGTATGAAATAAGCCAAAACTCAATGTGAAAGCCTACTTATGAGACTTGTGCCAACAGAAACAAATGCTGAATTGTGATTTCTAATTTCTACGAAAAGAGCATGTTCATGGTTGGAGAATCATGACTCCAGTCATACAGTGAATGACACAGAACTGGAGATTTGTTCTGACAACTGCAGTTCATGATATACTGACTGACTGACTGAGTTTGGTTTTACGCCGCTTTTAGCAATATTCCAGCAACATCACGGCGGGGGACACCAGAAATGGGCTTCACACATTGTACCCATGTGGGGATTCGAACCCGGGTCTTTGGCGTGACGAGCCAATGCTTTAACCACTAGGCTACCCCACCGCCCCTCATGATATACAACTGAAGAATATGTTTCACTGATGTAACTTATGCTCTATTTGGGATAATACTTTCTCAGTAAAGTATGGACTCTAGTTCTTTTTTTTTGGGTGCGGGTGATTAGGTGCCCGACTCTGAGGGTTCAAATCTTGGATAAGACTCAACCCCAAATAGTACAAGAACCTGTAGTTTACTGAGAAAGTGTAATCCCAAATATATAACATGTTACATTTGACCACTTTCTAAATTCTCTACCAATGTCATAGTCAGGATCCTATATCTTGATGTAGTAGTTAACGCTTTTCAAAAAAGATTTACAATCCATATTTTTCATACCAAGCAACTCTGTCTCCCAGCCCTGAACCACATTTAGCCTACCCATCCATATACAAGTTACAGCAGATGCATAACTGAAAGTTTAACCCCAAAGCTGTGAATGAGTCAAGTCTCACAGCTTACACACTATTACGTCCATTAACAAAATTCAAAGTAATCCTGTCCCATTAAGACTATTTAAGCGATAAGAAGTGCGGTTGTGAAAACCCACATCAAGGCAAGTTAACCAAGAAGATAAGACTGTCGTATGTTATTATTCTGGGCCTGAACCACAAAGCGTTTGTTGAGCTATGACATCTTAAGTCTATGAAAAACTATCGTGTTACGACATTACAAACTCTTTGTGGTTAACGACCCTGAAACTGCACTTAGCTAATACGAAAATTTCAAGTTGTCTGGGATTCATGACTTTAATTTAGCAACTCTTTACGTGCCTAAGACTGGGCCACTAGTGGTATTTTCCATCAAAATGGATCCCCCATGAACTTCTGGCTAGCTATTCTCGAAACGTTCATAGCCCTATGAACTTCTTAAGCCCATTCTTAACACATTGGCTACGATCAAAGTTAAGAATTCTTAGGGCTACGAACATTTCGAGAATAAGGGCCCTGGTGACTTCTGGGTGATTTCAGTGAAGTCAGGGTGGTCAGGGAGAGATTGATCTGCTTGATATTTTGTCCTTGTTCATATCGAGACATCATAGATCTAGCTCATGCTATCAACAACTGCTTCACCTGGTCAGAATTATCACAGTTAGCAGACAGTGATACTACTGGAATCTGCTGCCTGTGGCATAAAATATCTAATATTCACTGAAAGTATGCATGCTTACTCGTAACACGCATGGAACACATATTTCCAGCAACATTCACAGACTGACAAAATTGAAACTTTCCCCACCAAATGAGGATTAAGTTCAAGAACTGTGAAGGGATGGGTTTGGGTTTGACGTGTGAGCAAATATATTTTTCAAATGCCCACTGAGTGTGTCAACATCCTTAAAATGTCTGTGCACAGATGAGCTTTCAAAATGGCTGCCAGTAGAGATTATGCCTCACAGCAAACAGGTGAAGACAATATTTTCTTTGAAAGTTGTTCAAACTCAATGAACTTTTTTGCTCGTGCGTAGAAAGTATTCTCCTGAGTGTGGAATGTGTTCCCTGAATGGGAGGAGATTCAAGCACTTGGAAATCTCTCACAGAACCACTGCGCTTGAGGTGCAATGCTTCAGCATTAGCTATCCTAATGAGAGGAATTGGGAACACCAGCGTGCAGGTGTTAGGTGCTTCGGTCTCTATTGCTTGTCTGTTCATCTGTCTTATCGGTCTCTGTTATCAATCTTTTCTGTTTGTGTAAACTGTATTTACTTAGCATCTCTCTGTCTTTGAAGGTTTTTTCTTCTGCTGTTCTGTGCTCAGATTTTTTTGTCTGCAGGAGTATATCTGTCTATTATCAAACTGTTTGTCTTCATAGGTATATCTTACTTTGAATTGTTTGTCTTCATTAGCATGTTGTCTGTCGTTTAAGTGTTATCTTCAGTAGTGACTGTATCTTTGGAGTGAGTGAGTGAGTGAGTGAGTGAGCGAGTGAGTATTGCTTAACGCTGCCTCAGCAATTTCATTCTTTGGATTGTCTGTATTCATGGGATTCTTTGAATTGTTTCTCTTCAGTAGTGACAGTGTCTGGATTGTTTATCTTTATGGGCTATCTGTTTTTCTTTCAACTGTTTGTCTTCAGGATTGTGTGTGTGTTTGTCTTCAGGATTGTGTGTGTCTTTTGCCTTCAGGATTATGTGTGTGTCTTTGCCTTCAGGATTATGTGTGTGTGTTTGTCTTCAGGATTGTGTGTGTGTGTTTGTCTTCAGGATTGTGTGTGTGTGTCTGTTTGTCTTCAGGATTGTGTGTGTCTGTTTGTCTTCAGGATTGTGTGTGTGTCTGTTTGTCTTCAGGATTGTGTGTGTCTGTTTGTCTTCAGGATTGTGTGTCTTTGTCTGTGTGTCTGTCTGTCTGTCTTCAGGATTGTGTGTGTCTGTTTGT